ATAGAAAGGTTGGAACGAGAACAGCGAAAAGCAACTGGGATGATCAATGGATTGGCAGTTAGGATATAAGGACAGGCTCAGGGCGTTGCATTTGTATTCACTGGCATATCGCAGACGTAGAAGGTATGAGGGATCTGATAGAGATATTTGAGATTATGAAAGGGATTGACAAGGTAAGATCTACAAGGAGCGCTGGAAACCAGTTTTAATAAGCAAAAGATAGGAAAAAACTGTGACGAGGCATATGCCATTTAGTCAGAGTAAGGAATAATTGGAATGAACTGTCAAACGAAGTTGTAGGAAGTCACTCTAGCAACATTTAAAAGTCGTTTGGATAAGCTATCGGTCCAAGGATCTCATTTATAGCTAAATTCAGGCAGGCCAGGTGGTAAGATTAGTGTTGGGGATGTGTACGGAACCTGAGACAGACCAACATCGACGGGCCTCTGCGGCGCTTTGTTGGCCTGATGTCTTTATGTTTTATGTCTCGCGTGCAGTGTCGCCGACAAACTACAGCATCATGACCATGATCATGACATTGTATTGTATTGACCGATCATGATCATGGTCTTTCCTCGGCCCCCGTCGCGCGTAGGTATCCTAGACAACATATAACATCATGACTGGTCTTTCCTGTGACTGCTAACTGCATTGTTAATCCAGCTGCATGCAACAAACATTTTTACGAAAGATGCTTGGTTATTGCCGACGGTCTTCCCAGGATGGGCGAGGGACAGCCTTGCGACAGACTTATGATCAGCGAGCGTCCAACGAAACACAGCTTCCGAAAAGGCTGAGAGGCTTATGACGACCATAGAACGCCCGAATGACTCGTGAACTTTTCTAAACCTAGGAACAGTGAGGACCCCGAGTCATTTGGAAAGTGTTGGGGAAAAGTAGAACTCCCAGAACAATGCCAGGGCCGGCAGAATGCGGCCTGCTGCTGCAGAGCATGTTAGTGACCAAAGTCGAGCTGATTTATTACTGGTCAATATCGCTTTGATATTGCGTGCACCTTTGACGAGAAAGGAAACAGACTAGTGTTTGTATTCGTGTGTTTTTTTAATACTCTTGGGTCAGGTGTACCCTGATGTAGGCATGTTTGGCTACGATTAAATTGTATTATTTGAACGGACCAGCATGGAGCTGATTAAAAACCTCCATTGTGGCTCAAGCAAGGTACAATTCTGTTCGTATTCACACATTATCAAATTTGCGTCAGGTGTGAGTCGTCTTACGCATGCTGAAAGGCATGCGTATGGCGATCTGGCTAACGAGATGACCGGCGACTCGTACACTGTGTGATGGGACTGCCGCTGTTTTCGATTCGAGGCTTCAAGTCGCTATGTGCGAGATCGTTGGGAACAACTCTCCGAACACCGCACGTTAATTTTAACGATTCTTGGTTAGGTTCTAGACATTAGATCCCGACCTTGAACAACACACATGCGTTTCCAGACCATCCAGTTTACCCTGGGACTAGAGCGTGCATAGCTGTGTTCTCAGAATATGGGCGTCACTTCAATACCGCGCACATTTGGCCGGCATACCGGCAAAACGGCGGCCTGACGATCACACCACACTGCGTGCACGCGATGTATTTTCATGCACTTAGGGCCACAGTGATCAGCCTAGCCACATGCAAATTCCCGCTAGTGAAACGGGACACTTAAAAGGCGGGAGCTCGGCATAGGCAGGTGCTAATCAACGTCAGCTCTTTGAACCAGAGCCGTCACGTGACCTGGCGTCCGTGGCGGCCGTGACGTACCATCGAACGCAGCCGCTCCATCCCGTGACCCCCGTGACTGGGGCTGTTGCGCAGCCGGATGCCTGTTGCGCGTTCATGGAAAAATAAACAGAGGCACGTTTGGCTTCCCTGCGAGCCGCGTGTTGGCCGCAGGCGTGGGCTTGGCCGTCAGCTGCCGTCCAGACGTCGGCGGCGTTGTATGGCCACGTTGATATGTCGTCGTATCCCGGCTGTTGCATCAGCCGTAGTTCGAAGCGCGGCGCATATGGGTGTGCCGGGTCTTCTGGTGTTGACTGAAGAAACTTAGCGATTTAAAGATCACGAAACTTTGAGACGTTCTACTTAAAAAATACGAAACGTTGCAAGATGCCGCGCAATGAGCGGTATACTTGACTGGGAGCGACTGCGCATTTCGCTGCAGCATTGCGCACGACAGCGAGTCTCTGGTAACGCAGCGACAGCTCGCTATCAATTTGTCCTCGATGCGACTGGTCGTTGCATCAGCGCTGCGTGCGTCGTGCCAGCCATAACCTCTGAGCACGCGTCCGTGGGAGACCGCAGCCGGGCAACGCGTGACCATCCGCTTGTGCTGGTGTGGTTTCTGTTGTGATTTCGGATGCTTTATGGCTTCGGCCTAGCGTGCCAGGCCGGCGGGGAGACGACAGCTGGCCCAGTGCTCCACGCACGCTCGAGCCTCCCGGTCCCGAAGCGCGCGTGCTCGAGCCGCGCAGTCCTGGAGCTCCCGGCCGTTCGACGTCTCGCAGAGGCACGCATGCCCAATAACCACGCCTCGCTTCGTTCCCTCTGCGCCGTGGAAGCCGTACTGGCGGCATGACGCGGCATGCAGAGCCGCCCGAGCAGTCGGCCCCAACACAGGCCATCGCCGTGGAAGTCGTGCTGGCGGCGTGGTGCAGCATACAGAGCCGCTCGAGCAGTCGGCCCCAACACAGGCCATCGCAGTCGACGTGTTCCGCTCTACGGACCGGCGTGTGTGGGCAGGATCGGGGCGGTCACCCGAGCTCTGGTCCTGCTTGGCGTGGATTTGCCGCGTGCAAATCCACGCCAAGCAGGACCAGAGATTCAGGTGGCAGGACGAGATCGCAGCAGCAGCCCCGCGCTCCCGCCGGTCGCCAGTGGTGTCCAGCGTGCCCGTATCACCGACACGATCAGCTCGACCGCGGCCACCGAGCTGCAGCCCCGGCGAAGGCTTGGTCCCCGCTGTGGTCGGCAGCCTCTGCATGATTTCGGGGGGGGGGGGGTTCCCGGTGGCTGCGCCGTCACGTCAGTCTGTCCGGCGGCTAGGGGCCCGCTCTCTGCCGGGGTGCGGCGCACGTGCTCGGCTCTGGCCGTGGTGGGTGGGGCTGTCATGACTAATTCACGAGGACAAACGAGAGGATGGGTCGATCCGTGTTGTGGGCCGGGAGCTGACCTTCCTAAAGCACGTTGTGATACTATCGACATAGTATCAAGCACGTTGAATCTTTGCGTCTTCTGGTGCCATTTGCCGATTTTTACAACAATTTTGGGTCGCAATGAACCGCGATGTCTGCATATACGCACGCTCTACAGGCACAAACAATAAAATACACTCAATCTACCTCCACCTCAATCTACCTGTAATCAATCTACCTACTTTGTAGACACATTGCAAGAGCGATGCAAACACCGTAATGTATGTAGGTGCAAAAAGCTGTAGCCACGCCGCAGCCCTGCTCGCAGAGCTGGTGGGGTGCCGATCACCAGACCGGCATCGGCTCCCTCGGCTGGTAGTGATCGCGTCACGCGCGGTATGAACGCCAGCAGGCGGGTGGATGCGGGCGCCGGCTGGTCGCACAGGTCCCGGGCGAGGATGGTCCGCCGGTCCCGGGCGAGGCTGGAGGATGCGGGACAGCCTGGCCGGCAGCTGGGCATTGGATAGGGTCGCAGGTCGAGTATGAAGCTGTGAACTATGAACTTGGGGCTGGTGCCAAGGAGGCATTGACCAGTGGAGCGTGTTGTGCGCCACCGACAGATGCGGGTCTTGTGTGGCATTTCTCAGAGCTGGTACGTCTTGACTCAATGATAATGATGGTTTACAGAAGATGCTTGTGTACATTATCTTTGAGTGTCCTTAGGTGGGGTCAGCTCCGTGAAATCAGTCTGGTATGAATCATCGTTATCTGTGTATCTGCACTATCGCTGATCATCTGTTTGTCACTAGTTCACAATAGGTACTCATGTATGCCAGCAAACTATGACAACAAGGCCTGCTATGATGCCATTGATTTAGACGTAGATTTTGCCAAAGAGAGCTGCTGTGGATGTTGCTTCAAATTGAATGGAATGGCAGTTTTCGTTTACCTTGGAACGACTGTCATCAATAACTTCTTTTCGAAAATTCGGAACTGTCGTCAATGCAGTATGTAGGAGGACCGCAGGGACGGTACTGCACAACTCTTTCTTTTATCGCTAGTGCTATGCACAGCAACAATAAAACAGGGATTAAACTCACATAAAACGCCAGCAGTTTTCCTGTCTATTTGCGACTCCAATCTCCTGGCAACGACAGGATTCCCACACAATGCCAAGATCGAAGACCTTAACCCCCGCCCCCGGTCCCCTCGCGACCTTGTTGACGACAGCTCCGATCCACCACGCCCCACTAGCAGCATTCACAACAGGCAGCAAAACATCCCCCTGGCGAACAACGCCTGACTTTCCCGATGCCCGCCGGTGCTGGCGTGACATCAGACGTTGAATCAGCGTCTCGTACTCGCACCGCCCTGGTGATCGCACTCAGCGGCGCGTCCCGAGTCCCCAGTCCACCATCGGGTCCACCATCGGGTCCAACAGGTGAAGGTGCGGCCTCGTGCGTGCCCCCTGCCGGCCGTATCGACGAGCATTTCTCTCAGGACGATGTGACGGGCACGGCGCCCCCTCTGCCTATGGCGATCATGTGCCTCCATCGATCGCCCCCCCCCCCCCCCACCTCCCCCACCCTACCCCGGCGGCGGGCGGGCACGGCCTGGTGACCCGCCCCCCTCGTCGTCGCCGCTGGCCAGGTCGGCCGGGCCGCGGGGGGAATTTGGCGAGCGCTCAGCTGGCGTCGGCCGCGCTGTTTGGGCACCTCGCTGGTCGCCCGCGGCCGATCAATGTCGGCCGACCGAGGGCCGGCGGGCGGCGGCGGCGGCGGCGCGGCGGCGGCACGTGGCGCGGCTGCGCCGGCCGCTGCCAGTCGCCGCCCGGGGCTGCGGGGAGCGGGCCGCGCCGCCGCCGCCGCCGCGCCATGAGCTCCCCGGGCGCCGACCGCGCGCGTGAGCCGCACAAGAAGAAGGAGAAGCTGCCGCGCACGCTCAGCACCAGTATACTGCGCATCAAGCACCGCAGTCCGTTCTGGGAGAAGTTCTGGTCGGGCCGCGGCTCGAGCCCGGCCCGCACCGACAGCGCGCGCGAGTGAGTACTCGGCCATCGACCGGCGGCGCCGCCGTCGCCGACGCGGCCCGTGTCGCTCGGCCTGCGGCTGCTGGTGTGAGCTGCGGTGCCGCGGGAGGGTCGCTTCCCCCGGGAGCGGCGCGCTCAGCCCCCTTCCCCCCCCCCCCTTCCGCGAGCGGCCGTGTAAACACGGCCGGCGCACGAGTTTATCCGCTGGGTGGTAGATTAGGAGCGGCGACCGGTGCTGCTGCGACGGACGTGCTGTTGATGGACGCGCGGCAGTGCATGCCGGCTCGGATGGTGTGCCGCGGGTGGTCGTGTGTCCCCACGAAGCCTTCAGCTGGTGATGACAGCTCTGCACTGTCACTCGCGGGGTGTGGCTTCATCACCAGACGATAACAATGCTCTGCTCGCTACCAGTAAATTGCTCGGTAGACGTGGTGGCTGGACTTTGCAACCAGCCTTGTCTTTCCCGAAAAGGCTGGCATCTTCGCTGAAAATTTCCGGAATGACCACGAAGGAAAAGACGTATATTTGCCGCCTATTCCGTCAGTATAGACGGGAACTGCCGATCCAGGAGAGCTTTCCCAAGGGGACAGGAGACACGAGGAAATACAGGATTATGTGCGAACGTCTCATAAAATCTCAGGCGCTCAAACTGAGTTGTTCTCTAGCTTAGATTCTTGATGGAGATGATTTTAACTTGTTTTGTACATGAAATGTAACAACATATTTTCAGGGCTACTTTGCCAATAGCTACCCTTCTGACACATCGGACCTGTGTTTGCTACGCGGCATATGTGCTCCAGCGACACTACTATTACTTTAAAAAACAATCACAGACTTGATCTACTGAAGACCAAAAACAGTTGTATTTTTTCGTCGCGCCGCTGTTTGTTCTGACTGCCGCTTCAGGGGGTGATTGCAGCTGCTGATGTTGCTGCGGGCTGTAACACGCCCTCATACCTAATGATTGCCGCTCATTTATCTACAGTAAGTGCTGTTTATTGACGTTGGTCGTGCCTCTGCAGCGACGCCACGCCCAATTATGTTATGGGCGGTGCGATATATGCCTGGGAAGATGGTGATCTGTAGCCGGGCGATCCGAGGTTACTGAGGTCATCCACCCACTCGCCACCGCTCCCCGTGCAGAAGTGCGTTGCCAACCAGCTGCTGACGAGGCAGCGGAACGTTTGTGGACCGGGGGTCAGAGGTCAGATGTAGACACGGCTACTGAGCACGCTCAAGCCTCTGTTTTTTGACATTCTGATTTGTGAATTGCTCCCTGATCTCCCCTGATTTTCTTGGGCGCTGATAGGTGTTGCCTGCTATTGGCTGGGATCCCGCTGACCCGACGCGACTTAGCATTCTGTGCGCAGCGGCCGGGGAGGGGGGAGGAGGCCTATCCTGTCGGGGGACTACCCGACGCGTCGGCTTGCTTCATTGCGCTGCGCAAGTTGGGTCTATTTTCGGCATCGGATGTCAATATTGGCTTTGGCGTGCTGGTGCGATGGTCATGCGTACCAGGAAGCCACGCGCGACCATGGTAGAATGTAATCTCCAGCTTTACTGCCGTGAGGCTAGCCTGCATTCCATGCGCATTCTAGTCCTAACTGACCCGATTATCGGCGACGACACGAGCGCGCGCAGATGCCGTGTGTGAATTCTTTTAATGTTGTGCGTGAATATCGAAAACAGCACGAATTTAATTTACGAGCATCAGGCGAGCTAACTCATGGTTAGAACGGTGTCAAATGATGACTGCGTTCCCAGCATCCGTCTAAAATATCGGCCAAAGACCCTTGTCCGCGGCCGTCAGAACCTTGACCTTGACCGGAGGGCAGCTGGCCCAAACGACAGACCACCGCCGTGCTGCCTTCAGACTGCGCCACCGCCGTCCCCAGTGTCCAATGACGCGGCGGATGTGGAGATTAACCTAGTTTGGCCCGCGGCCGGGCGACCTGACACGCGTGCACTTTGACACGCTCGCGCCTCGGAGAGCGGGGGAGCGCCGAGTCTCCCCCGCTCTTTCCTCCCCCACGCCCTCTCTCCTCCGCGAGCGTCCGCAGACTCCGGCTGTCCGTCGGCGGCAGCGTCCGGCCGGCCGTGTGCCGCTCCCGACGCATTGTTTTACAGGCACTCGCTGATGTCAACCGGCACCCGCCCGCAGTGTAAGCAAACCGGTTAAGTGCATTACAAGCCTGCTGCCAGGCGAGCGTACTGAAAAGTTGCCCCAGCGCAGGAGCGTTGAAATCCATTGACGAGGCGTGGGGGGGGGGGCGTTGAGTTCAAGCTTGCCGCATGATGTTAAGTGATAACTTTAAGTTGGAGGAGCAAGTGCTTTCAAATTGAATGGTCGCTGCACTGACCTCCATTAAAGCTCCCCTCTGCGTGCAGCCTCAGCATGTGGTTTCCAATGAATCGCGTCCTTGTGGCGGTCTTTTGTCGTGCAGCTGATGGTCGCACCTTCCTGGAAATGGGTACAGGTCGTCCCTGGGTTCTCATTGCCGCAAACAGACTTGCGTTTGGCTGCGGATGGAATGGGAGTCGACTGAGCCCGGATTCGACCGCACTGTGGAATGGTACCGAGCGAATTTGCGCTGCGTCGAAGCTGGTGGATTCCTTTAAAAAATCGCACATTTCGGTCTCAAAATTGAGTTGAATGAAATGTTTATGAAAAAACTATTAAGTAGGCGATTGAATGTAAGCGTAAGTAATAAGCTTTGTTCTTATGATACCACACCTTAAACGCGCCGGACATGAAACACTTGCATCACTGGCTTAGTGGCTTAGTTAGATAGCTGTTTAGATTACATGGCACGCCACCTGTATTGTTTATTTCCACCTCGTTGCTGCCGGTAAATTCAAATATTCATCCTACACAGGTTTTTGCAACGTTCACAAAGCGGTTTGTTTTGTAACGGTGGCACTGAAATAAACTTTATTGAAATTGCTGGTATTGACTGGCACCTCTTTTAGTCGCGATCAGATTCTACTTAAAGTTGTGCTTTGCTGCTCGGGGTCAGAGTCTAAATGAAACCCGAGCGTCGTGAGTCGGAGCACGAGGCGATCCGGTGTGACAGGATCAATCGCAAGTCTGGCTGCAAGCAGTCGGTCGGAGGGGGGCAATTCGACCCCGCCAAAAATTTTCCGGAATGGTTTTCGAACACCGCGGTGTAACCGCGCCAAACTTTGCATAGCTGTAGACAATTAAATAGCGGATCGTTTGGCACTAAACATTTATATGTAGTTTGTAAGGTCGCTGACTTGTGGCAGGTCAAGATCAGGCCAGGGATTCAGCAAAGATAACTTCTAGGAAATATTCAATCTGATTCAATCTAGGAAATATTCAATTCAACGGTATGCCAGATGAAGTCTTAATCTCTGAGATAGCTTCTTGGGCAGCACAGCAATTTAATGAACAAAACCGATTGACCATGGGTCAGGTTTGTTGGTCAGAACAAGGCTAAAATCAACCTGTTTTATTTTATCATTGTAGAGCTTGCCGCATGGGGGAGGTTCCTATGCTCATTTTGCATGTATTAATGATAGAAACCACATCATACATCTTGCATGGACTGCTTAAAGGCCAGAATAGGTCTTTGACCTAAAATGCCCTTGGTCAACATTTTGTTTATAAAAACGCACTTTTTGCCGTAATCTTTGCCGCCTATTCAAATGCGCAAATCGAAGTAATCCTGTATCATTTTGTTCACCATGGCCGTTGAAAATTCAAACAAGGCCACTGATCTTAAATGAGCAACAGTGACCTTTCGCTTAGAACAGGTATTTAGTTTGCGGTGGTTGCATGTCATTGTCTGGAGGCATTTGGGACACCAATCTGGAGTTTGACCTGGTTTGACTTTATGTGACCTAAAGATCATGACGTACGAATCTCAAATTTGGAAAAAAGTGAGTTTATGTTCAGGCAAATACGCCCTTAGAATTTGGTGTCTCTAACTCTCTTAGTTTCTGAGATTTCAGGGGGTCGAATTGACCCCCGCCCACCCGAGCGAAGGGATTCAGCCGACCACCCGGGCGCGTGTTTAGGTAAGAGTGTGGATGTTATGTGATTGTATTGCCTTGATCAATACGAAATATAAGCACATAGAACACAAATTTTGCTATACAAACCCCATCGAAAGCATGGGCACCGAACACAGGCCTACGGCGTCTGCTGTACAATTTCGAAATAAAGATGCGGCCACGTAGGCAATCTTATGTGTAGTGCTTGCACATATTTTTTGTCCACCAAGACGAAGCAAGATTAGTAATCGATATTAATCAGAATGTGAGCTGTCGTGTCACTCGTTATATTATTTGTCATTTTCCAGCAGTGTTTACTCTGCTCTGATCACGCATGTCCCGAACTGAGGAACAGAACTATGCTTCGGTACCAAAGTACTCCGTACATTTCGCTTTCCTCCCAGACATATTTAAACCCTGTCTTCTATGAAGACATTTCCTTTTGTCACGGAATCGGTGTACCGAAGTGAGCGCATGTGTTGACACTGAATATCCAGGCCTCCATAGCAACCAAGTGGAGATCGTTGTGCGAGGAACACCACCAACTGATACGTGCAATACCTCCCGCCATTCGGTCGCTGATCGTTGACAGCGTGTTAATCTTGGCAGCTGTTGAATGACAGTGTTTGCCGTTCCATTTGCACATTTGCTTATCGATCATCTAGGCCAGGGTGTTGCATCAGCGGCGGTGATTTTTTCTGCGCGGGGGGGGCGGGGAGGGGGCGCCCGGTGCGACCGTCTTTCCCAGACAGGTCTGTATGTCGGGGAGCTCGTGAGGAGGCTTTCAACCGTTGCACTTTGCCACGCGTCCGTTTGGTTAGGAGACACACCACTCGGTGAATGCCGCGTTCGTCCCGGCGCCACGCCGGTGACGGCGAGTCCGCCCGTCCGGCGCGAGGAACGGCCCGCGCTCCTGCGCCTCACAGGAGCTGGACCGCGCGAGGAATGGCCTGCGCTTCTGCTACTCACGGAAGCCGGGCTGTGCTAGGAATGGTTCGCGCTCCTGCTGCCCACGGGAGCCGGACTGCGCGAGAACCGGCCCGCGCTCCTGCTCCTTACGGGAGCTGGACGGCGTGAGGAACAGCCCGCGCTCCTGCCCTTCACGGGGGCCGGACTACGCAAGGAATGGCCTGCGCTTGTGCTACTCACGGAAGCCGGGCTGTGCTAGGAATGGCTCGCACTCCTGCTGCCCACGGGAGCCGGACTGTGCGAGGACGCTGCTCGGGAACAGGCTGACGTTGGACTGTCCGTTTCCAGACACGGAGAGGACTTGATCGTCACACCGTTCGCCCAAATCCTGGCCAGCTTACGGAGCGTGCGGAATAACTACATCGCCCTCACCAACGTCCCAACAAACAAGTGAGTATATGTGTGTGTGTGGGGGGGAGGGGGGTGGGGTACGTGCGTGTTCATACGGGTCTGATTGAGTGCAGGACGCTATTACACGGGGTGTTCTAGTGTCCTTGCGATTCTGCGCAGTTCATGTTATCAAGATGTCAGCTGTAGGACGTTGGGTGCCTGCTTTACATGTACTTCGACGCAGGTGCATTACATAACTCGGTTGTGCATGCGAAGGGCGCTGCCCATGTATTTTAATATTCAAACGGGTTTCCTAGGTGATGCTATACTGTGCTAACATGCGTCATAGTTTCAACTCGCAGGCTCAGCTCGAGTTGGCAGGGGGATTCGACTTGTTTCGAATTCACTGAGTGCCTCTTAATTCTCCTAAACCTCCATACGCGTTCCGGTCGGATTAGCAGAGATGTCGTTCGCCGTATGCTGCGTTCGTTACGGCGTCACAGCCCAAGCCCTTCGTTCTGTGTAGCCAGAGTTTATGCTGAGCCACGCACTGAAGTTCAGTGCCAGTGAGCTCTCACGGAGGGAAGCGCTCTAACCCGGCCGTCACGAGGATGTTCCCTGCGACTGCGATATGTGATTATGAGAGAGAGAGAGAGAGAGAGAGAGAGAGAGAGAGAGAGAGAGAGAGAGAGAGAGAGGGAGAGAGAGAGGAGAGAGAGAGAGAGAGAGGGAGAGAGAGAGAGAGGAGAGAGAGAGATGAGGAGAGAGAGAGAGGAGAGAGAGAGAGAGAGAGGAGATAGAGAGATAGAGAGAGATGAGAGAGAGAGAGAGAGAGAGAGAGAGAGAGGAGAGAGAGAATAGAGAGAGAGAATGAGAAAGAGAGAGGGAGAGAGAGAGAGAGAAAGAGAGAGAGAGAGAACATCAAACATAAGCTTGAGCACTTTATATGGAAGGAAAAAACACTATGTTGACCTTTAACCACCGGCGACACGAGGTGCCGGCGAAGGGACGAAAACGCATGTTCCCTACACCACATATTTTTGCCGCAAATCGGGGGGATTTGAGGTTGTTGAACGCCAGGAGTGCGTACACGCATGCAGAAAACCACCACATCGGGTGTTCTAGCTGTGTCCGGCCTTTGTTTGATCAATACGTCGTCGGGCCACTAGGTCAACTTACCCCTGTGGCTAATTTAGCATGACCGACGTAATGAAGGTTGTATTTCAGTAGTGACCTCGACAAACACGCCTAACCCACCATGCACGCAATATGCACTGGCATATCTGCATAGCTGTCATTCCATTACAATAACGCCCAGTAGTAGCCCTCAGTGACCTGTATCACTTAGGTGACGTCAGTGGTGTTCAAAGGGGCCTGTGGGTTTCAGGCTGCTTGAACGTAAACCTTTTATAAAACAAGAAACATAGCCGACAGCAAAAGTAGCACCACGAATCAACCCCACCACGTCGTTACGGCATGACCTAGCATGACTGGGGTTAGTTTTTGACTGGAATCACATTAGGTGTTCACTTGAATGCGCAAAATTTTGAAGCCCCTGTCGCAGTTCGCTTGACATTTTGCCTGCCAACCGAAAATTAGGCAAAGCCGACCAGGGACCTTTGCTGCTCTTCTCACGTCCCGCACCAACCTTGTAGACGTGGCAAAGCCCATCCTGTCAGCTGTGTCTGCCGTGACACAACTGGAAGGGGCTTTGCCACGTGTGCCTTACACATCTCTTCGGCCGCGTACGTGTCAATACGAATTCCCCGCCGTTAAAAAGCGCTGGGCCATGTTTTCCTGCCTCAAAGCCCGACTACCGTGGCCCCGAAATACTTGTCCCAAAGGACAAATTGTGACTGGTACCCTGTCGGAAAGAAAGTGGCCGTGCTCGCACGAGCCGACACGGGCAGCGTGCCAACCCGACACCCTGTCGGCGGGCTGGCCACAGCCGACGGCAGCGGTCGCGGCGCTCGCCGGGCCGCTCGCGCACCGGCCGTGCGCGCCGGCGCTCACCCCGGTGACCCCTCGCTCACCCCGTGACCCCGTCCGTCGCCAGGTCGCGGCGATCCTCGTCATCGGCAGCTGGCAACGCGACACCCCAGCCGAAGCTCGTGCAGCCGGGAGGTGAGCGGCGAACGCCGGTCGCGGACCGCCGGGGTGATCGGGGTTGTCCAACCGGAATCAGGATTGTCCGGGAGGGATGGGCAGGAATTTGGATTGCCCAGGAGGGATTTTCCGGAGGAATGACCCAGATGTGATGGCATCACCAGCACTGCTCATTTGAGCTGGCTCGGTTCGCAGTTACGGTATTTCCTGTCGTGATGCTTTGTGGCCTGTCATTGCTTGTGCTCATGCTGTGACCAAGGTCCTGCGCCTAGTCGGGAGTTAGCTTTTTGTGTTTTGTTAGCTTGGTCGAAGCCCCAGTTCCGGAGTTTTTGTTGCGTGTGTGTGTCGGCTTATTTCGCGCAAGGCTATTGATAAGGTTATCCAGAGCAATTTTGCACACAGAGAAGTGGCATATGCCGCTCCACGCTCGACAAACGCACTGTTCAAGTCGAGCCCACGTTTGCGTTTTCCCCATCCCTGACCAAATATATGGCCATTTCTGATCACGTTAAAGAAGGCTTGAGTTCAAACCGCCACCAGGAGTGAAAATGTGCCAATTGGCCAGACATAATCCGTGTTAAAATAGACCTTTTACCAGTCGTGGCGATAAAGCCTCAAAAATGGACATGGACGATATGGAAACTTCCAAGTGATCGAGGCCATGTAGCGCTTCCACTGATTCACTGGCGACGGTGATGCACTGGTCCAGACTATGACGCCCAATTCTTAGTTGAAGAGCTCTTAATTAAAGCTCAACACGGAACCTCACCAGCCAACGCCCTCAGTGTCAGCTGATTTGGGTTACGTGCCGAATCAGCAACTGTCGCTCTTTTACACTAAATAAGTTTCCATATGCCTCCAAATTTTCTAGGCCCTGAATGGTTATTAAGAGATGACACAAATATACTGCCAACCATATAATGTCGATAGTAACGTCATAGACCAATGGTGACGCAGGCTCAGCTTCAGGCAGATTAGCATGGTAAGAGTACGGGACATTGTCGTGCCATGACACACTCCTAGTTTCGTGTGTCTCAGATCTTCTCCGGCAGTGCTCAAGGTGTGAAGGTGCTGCACCAGGCCCGTTATAGTAAGATCAGTGAAGACCAGCGTCTGCGGCCTTTCCTAAGGCCGTGCATTGGCAAAGGTCTCGTCGAGGTCATTCGTTTGCTGAGGCCTTTCGTGGTCAAAGTCTGGCAACGCCACATTAGAGCAATTACAGACAATTACTTAAACTTCTCTCTGAAGCACGGTGCATGATGAGCTAAAGTGACTAATGTGTAGTAAGGGTGGCGCTGCGGCCGTTAGGTGTAGTCCACGTGAGACGAAGTCTTCAAAACAGCCCAGAATAGCGCCAATAGACTTTTGACAATGCACCGTGTAATGTAATGCGTCACATGTGCATTGTCGACGGAGACAAAGATTGCACTCACAATGTATGCCAGATCAAAACCTTGGAGGTCGTGGGGAAAACCTCAGATGCTGTGAGGTTCTGTACTGAATTGATTATTGGATTGAATATCTATTTTCCGTAACAAAAAGCCACGCGCGTCGTCGTGAAGCATGAGACTCGCATGCAAGAAGTGCACATAAATCACGTCGCATTGTACATATATATGCGCATCACACATGCACACTTGAGCCGATATGCTGCGCTGGAAGCAAATGATGGCACGCTCTGACTCTTGTATCAGATGTGAGCCGCACCCTCGTGTCCACGAGAGCCTGCTTCTGCGGTAGCTCACTTGTGAGAGCGCAGTGCCTGGCCGGTAGCTCACTTGTGAGAGCACAGAACCTCTCCGGTAGCTCATCAGTGAGAGCACAGAACCTCTCCGGTGGCTCACTGCGAGGGCACAGGACCTCCCGGTAGCTCGCGTGTGAGAAAGTAGGACCCCTGGCTTCTGTCTCGCAGCCGTATGGGCTGGCATTCACAAAACCGCGCCGCGCGCCTATGCATGCCGACAGCTAAGCAGTGAGCTGTGGTGTATGAGTGCCCCACACCTGGGGCATATTTCAAAAACGTGCTCTAGTGAAACCTCCGTACTAGCTACGTGTTGTAATGGCACTGGGTAGTGCCACTGCAACACCGTCATGACATGATAAAGATATCAGTTTTAATTTTGAAGTGCAAAATTATGTTGTCAACGCTGTGGAACAACTCTACGTTTCTTCCCTGCAGTAGCGACCACCGTCGTCATGACAACCACCGTGCGCACCTCTAGTTGCAGAGGAGTTGGTTGGTTGAAGTCTGAACCAGTGAGCGACATGAACCATATGATACTCCGTTTCTCAAACCCAAAGTGCGTCTCGAAAAGAGCCACTCTGGTAAACGCCATAAGGGGGAAATCCACGCCATAGTAAAACGTTGCTTTGAATTCGCGGGACAAAAGCTTCGTATGGACTCTTTCATGTAACAGAGCGTTTCAAGGTTTCGTAGCGTGTAATACACAAACATTTTGGTATATTGTTGTGCTGCACACAATACACAATACAAACGTTGAAAAAGGCGAGGCAAATAAAATATATTACTTTCATGGTGGTGAGCAGGAAGTCAGATGAGAGTTCTCCCGCGGGGCTGGCTACCTCAAATCGAACTTACAGGCTATTAACGATTTCGCGAAAACTGTTGTTGCTGACCAAGTTGTACGCGTCCGCAGTACTGATAAGTGAAAAGTGCAAGAAAGGTGGGATGCTCCCTTTAGCACGCGGCGCTGACTCCCTTAAGCACGCGGCGCCGACTCCCTTTAACACGCGGCGCCGACCCCCTTTAGCACGCGGCGCCGACTCCCTTTAGCACGCGACGCCGACTCCCTTTAGCACGCGGCGCCGACTCCCTTTAACACGCGGCGTCGCTAATGACCTCCCGCTCGATTTCGCTCGTCACTCGCGCAACGCTGTCAGACAGTGACACCGGTCGGGGAATACTGCCCTATGCCATACTGCCTTACCTCCCACGCCTCCAACTGCTGTATGACAGCCGCGCGGTCGCCAGACTAGCCGTCATCCAACAGCGTCGCAGTCCTAGCCATGGCGAACTCCAGCCGCAGGCAGGCACACCATCAGCGGGGCACAGCGGCATTGCCAGAGACCGCTTTGTATTTGTCATGTTAAGTGCCGGATTGTCTGTGCAGAATGCCGCTGCTGTCGATGCGGCGAGGTGTTGGGTTGTCTAAAGCTGCGCCAAGAAGATGCAACCGTGCTGTAAATGTGCTTGCATGGTATTAAGCAGCTCTCATTAGTCATGGGCCGCGCCTGCAATTTAAACGGTTTGCACCTGGCCGGCAACAGAACCCCCCTCCCCCCCCCCCTTGTTCGCCATGGAACGCATCATCCCGGTGGCGTCCTCAGCGCCACTCTCCTCCTCCCGCGGAGACGTCCCCGGCCCTTGGGGAGCTGTCCCGCGCGTGTCGGGCCCGGCCGTTGCCAGGACGGCGCGGCCCGCCGGCGCCGCCGGACCGGCTGTCTTGGAGCGCCGCCACGCTCGCCCCCGCGAGCGGAATCATATCGACACGCGCGCGAATGAGGCGACGCAGCGCTGCGGCGTCAGAGGAGTGAGAGGGGGGGGGGGAGAGGCCTCCACCGGCTGACACAGGTGGTTGGTGTGATCAGGAATGTGGTTTCTTCAAGTTAGCCAAGTATCTTTTTAATGTATTTGTCACTTCCCTGCATGAAGGGGTGTAGTGTCCGAAAAAATCGGGTGTGGGCTAAGCAGTTAAATGGTTAAATCTGCCCGCAAAATGTGTTAAAAGTGGGCTGCTCCCCGGATCTCTTCTCTATTCTTCTTGAAGTTGAAGGGCTGAAGCCCCTCCCCCCAACTGAATAGGACGTTGTTACACTCTGCCTGCATCACACCCAAAAAGTGACTGGAGAACGTCGCGTCAGCCTGGACGGCCATGCCAACAGATGAGACGTTCGTCAAGCTGTCCATCGACACGCTGGAGGAGCTGGACTGGTGTCTGGACCAGCTGGAGACGATTCAGACGCACAGATCCGTGTCGGATATGGCCACCAGCAAGGTACGTCAGACGGGCTGCCGCTGTGCGCCCTCCCCTCTCTCTCTCCGCCTCTGTCTCTGTCTCCGTCTCTCCCTCTCTCTCCCTCTGCCCCTCTCCCCTCTTCTCCTCCCCCCCTCTCTCTCTCTCTCTCTCTTACTCGTTCTCGCGTTCGCTCTCGCTCTTGCTCTCTTATTCTCCTCACACACTCTCTCCTCACACTCTCTCTCTCCTCACACACATGCACACTCTCTCTCCTCACACTCTCTCCTCCCACCCTCTCTTTCCTCACACTCTCTCGCTCTTGCTCACTCTTGTCCGCCGCCGGGTGAGTGCCGGTGCCCTGTCTCCACCAGGGCTGGCCGCCCAGCGGACACGCGTGATCCGTCGGCAAAATCTGGAAGTTCCTTGATGTGATTATTGCAGCCCGTAAATCACCTGCCGCCTCTTGACGCTGAGCTCTGGTTCGTGCTTTTGGCAAAGCGGTGTCTTGACGCGTCAGCCTCACTAGGGTGTGCAATGAATGCGCAACACGTGTGTACCTCACGAGCTCATCACTGAACACGAAGCAGGCGGGCAGCGTGGCACGAATCAGCTGTGTCGCAAAGCTGCACACTTCGCGATGGTAGAGTCGGTTCGTTCTGCACCGTGCACACTCATAGCAGGGTGTCAAGCAAGGGCATCTTGTCACGGACCGGGTGGCATACGGCCACGAGGGCACGAGAACGCCTGACTATGCAGGGCGTGTTGTGGCATGAGCACGCCATCGTGAAAGCGGAGAGGTGACCTGTGCGCGGGCACGGGCACGTTGACGTCACAGAACAATCACGCAATAAGACGAACGCCAGCGTGATGCGGTCTTCCACTTAGAGGCCGTCACGTCGTGAGTTGCCGCCGTGAGAGATAATTATGCGTGCCGAAAAGCACAGTGACGTGGCAGAGCGCGAACACGTAGCAAAGCAAACACGCGCGCGGTACGGTCTTCGTGGGGATTCCCGCCGCAGGGCAGCGTCGTAAGAGAACCCGTACGTGTACATGTGCGAAGCCGCCTTCATGTCACATAAAGCAATCGCGCAGTAATACAAACATCAACTTGATCTGTCTTCCACTGAGAGGTTTTCCGGCCGTCAGTGACCCCGCAGACTGAATGTATCGGAGCTCTCGGAAAGCTCTTTGACGTAAAAGCCCTTCCGCCTTTCCGAGACAATGACACCAGCTAACGGGCCGGCGCACACGGGGCCGCCCCACCCCATCTAATGTCTGCCACGCGCCATGCCCTGACAAGGCCAGGCCACGCGCCACATCATACTCGCTGTCGGTCAGGAGGGCGGGGGGGGGGGTGAGCGACCTCCGACCACCCACTCGGCTGGTGGTGCCCGTCGGCTTTGTTGCATCACGGCGCGTATCGGCTACCGGCTCAGCACGTGTCGGGCGGTTCAGTCGCGGGTCGGGTCCGGTGGCGTGAACAGTGCCCGTCTCCGCTGCGCGGTCGGCGCCGGCGCTCGACGTTCGCGCCGCTTGAGGGTCACGTGGGTGCTGCCCAGGCGCCATGCGACGCCAGCATCCTGTCACGTGGTGTATCCATCGGGTTCAGCAGGTCAGTCGGCCCGAGGCAGCTGCGGGCGTCGCTCGTCAGCGCCTTTGATGTGCCGTCCCGGCGCGGCGCGTGCCGGCGTTACCAACGCGCTACCGCCCGGGGCTCCGCCGCCGCCGCATGCCCCGACGCGCTCTCGTCCTCTCCCCTCCCGTCCCTCGCCCCCTCTTTCTCTATCCTCGCGCCCGGGGCAGCGGCCGAGGGGAGCAGAGCTTTTTCGGTGACCCAGTTTCTTATGATGTAATGATTTTCGGCCGGTTTGACGTCATAAGGACGTCATCGGGGCGTCGAGGAGGCGCGGCCGGCGATTGGTCGCCGCCCGAGGCACGGCCGTCGGCGCCGACGCGCGGCGTTCGTCGGCGTCGTCGGCGGCCGGAGAGGCGCGCGCCGAGCGCTCGCCAATCTGAGCTGCTGCCAGCAGAATCTGATGTCGCCGCACGGCGGCCGGCGGAGAACACATGAAGTTGGCATCGAGCCAACCCGCGCCACCGCCTGCGGCGTCCCGCAGTGTGTTCGGTCGTTTGATTGTTTCTGGTGAAGCGTGCGAGTTACGAACACGCAGCTCGTGGATTGGCGTTTGGGGCACACGTGCAGAATTATTAATGACGCAGAACAGTTACGAAACGGCTGCACAGAAAATGTGGCTACCTGCCGTCAAGTCTCCAGAAAGGCATTCGTAAAATGTGCGTGCCCATTGTTCGGGATTGCGGCACAGCAGCAGAGCACAGCATTCGGGCTAACCCCCGCGGTTCAGCACGTGGCTCGGGGCACGGGTGTGCAATCAGATGATTCACAAATGTAAATGAACGTAGACATTTTCGTCTAACTGGGACGGCAGGCCTGCACCCGACCTGTGTCCCGGCACCCGTCGGAGGCGCCGGCCCCTTCGAGACCTGAACGAACCCGGCGCCGGCTCCGCCGCGTTGCCGCGGGCTCGTTTCCCCCACCCCCGCTCGCGCGCCGAGCCCGCATACGACGCTGGGAGGACCATCGCGACCCAACTCAGCCCGTGGGCGTGGAACTGCGCAGTATGTGGGCGGTGCCGGCGTCAGCGCACCTTTGATGTGCCACTCTCAACGCTGTGATTGCGGCGGTCTGTGCAGCTTGTTATCATGCGCTTTGACGTTGCAGCTCACTGGCTCGCCGCGGCGTATAGTTTGGCTTCCGTCGAACGCCAGCTTGCCGGAGAGCCTATCGGAGCCCGTGAAATCAAGCGGCTGAGGGCGATAGCGGCGCTGCTATGGATGCTTTACTCTACGCGATTGCGCTCCCCTTATTTGCTCCGTACTGCAAACGGTAACTGATATAAAATGATCAGAACAACTTTTGATGTCATTTGTTCCGCTCTGGAGGTAATAGCAAGGCTTTTCGTAGTTATTTCTAATGCATTTGATGGATAGAGTTGATGCAAACGCTTTGTTCTGGGGTAGTTGTTAAATCAAACGTCATACTGGCTCCTTAACTAAGTCGCTTGATGTATCGGGAATCCCCAGCATATGAGGAAACTGCATCGTGTCCTATATTTTCTCAGATGACCAACGCGAAGCGTTCCTATATATATATATATATATATATATATATATATATATATATATATATATATATATATATGTATATATATATCTGAGAAAACATAGGACATAGGCCTGGTTTCCTGACCATACTGATGATGCCCAATACATCAAGCGACCTAATTAGAGAGCCAGTATGATGTTTGATCTAACAACTACCCCAGAGCGATACATTTGCATCATCTCTATACATCAAAAGCATTAGAGACAACTAAGAAAGGCCTTATTATCACCTATAAATATATATATATATATATATATATATATATATATATATATATATATATATATATATATATATATATATATATATATATATAATACATAGCCCTTTTCACCTGGCGGATGTCGCTTCCACTGTCTTCCAACTCGCGGTTTGACCAGTATCCCGAAGGCAGCGGGCTCCTCCCCCGAGCACGCGAGCGCTTCTCCGTAGCGAACGTGTCCCCAGTCAGCCGCGGCGCCGCTGCTGACCGTCCGCAACATCCTCTTGGCAACGGGCGGGGGTGAGCTGGCGCGACCTGATGGCGTCCTGGGTCTGTGGCTGGTCAGCTTCCCGGTAGCCGCCGGGGGAGCGTCGGCGAGGGAAGGCCGACCGGCTGGAGCACGGCCAGCGCGCTGGCGTCGTGTCCGCCTCGGCAGCCGCCGCGTCCGGCTCCGTTCATGGCGCCGGCGGTGCTGTCGGTCCGCGCTTGGCGCTGGCGCCGCCGCCGCCGCCGCCGCTGGAGGTGTTGGCGCTCCGGTGCTGAAGCGGCCCGGTGTCAGCGCCGCGTGAGTTCGTCGGCGTGTGTGCAGTGCGCAGCTCAGCCGTTGCAGCGACCGAGTCATTGTCTTTGTTGATTTGGGCTGTGTGGTCGGGGTGGAGGTGGCAAAGGTTGACCGCTCGTTTTGTGTGCTCTGCAGTTCAAGAGGATGCTCAACAAGGAACTCAGCCATTTCTCGGAGTCCAGCAAGTCTGGCAACCAAATCTCCGAGTACATCTGCTCTACGTTCCTGGGTAAGTCGCTGCAGCTTTTCCGCCCCGTCCGCTTCTTCAGGGGCTCATTTCCGGGCAGTGGTGTCCCCTGCCTTCCCACCGACGCCCCATGCACCTTTCCACCGAACAACCGACCCGTCTCTGCCTCCCGACTACCCGTCGTTCCCAGACGGCAGGATCCTGCGCCGCATCCCCACCACCAGTGTTTCCAGAAGGCGCGATCCTCCAACGCCGGCTTCCATGCCCCCGTTTCCAGGTAGCAGGATCCTGTTGGCTCCTTTAACTCCTCACTTCCACGCACAGTATCCTCTCCTGCCTTCCCATCGTCCGCGCTTCCAGACAGCTTCCAGAGCTGCGTTTCCAGACGGCACGAACCGCTTCCGCCTCCTCCCGGCCGCCCGACGGCCCGCTTCCATGCAGCCCCCACCCCACCCCAACGACAGCGCACCCCGCGGAGCTGTTGGCGCCGTCCGAGATCAATAGAGCCGCCGCTTCCCTGTAGTGGGCAGCCCTGGTCCTCGCGCTGCGGGTGCCGAGGCGCTGGGGATGGGAGGGGCAGGTGTGTTGGGATAGGTGCGGGCATTGATGTGCGGCTGGGCCGGCGGTGTATATTTGTTTTCGATTGGTTCACGATTGGTTCGTGAACTCCGTGAAAGGTGTGCACCTTTGGTTCGAGGTATTGACGGAGGTAACCATAATGAGCAGGTGACGGAAATGCCGTTCCGAACAGACATCCGGCTAGGTCTTTTGAGCTCCAATGTGGTGTTCTGCGTTATCTGTTGTTGTCAGGGACACCACGAGTGGCTTGTTTCCTTCGTTACTAAATCCGTATGCAGCTGCCTGGCTGCCTGAGATGTGTATATTTGTGCATGAATGTGTGCCGTGTACCTTTGTGGCTGACTGGCGTTAAGCGCTGTAATTAAGCGCATTAAACATTAAGCACGCATAAACATTTGTGCTTCGGCAAGTGTGAGCCATATTCACGGAACGGAGAGGAGCTTTTTGAAATTGATGCGTGATGGAGGGCGGATGTCTCGAAAACGCAGAGGATGTCTGCTGATTTTTATTTATTTTTGGCAACTTTATAGCGACTTGGCTTCATGTGGGGAGGGAAAGAGGGCGGAGGAGAGCAAAACCTAGGGTGGATTTAGTACAGGATCTTGGAAAAGTCATGATCCATTGCCGGAGGCGAAAGAGTGCCTGAAGACAGTAATTAGGATAAATAATACTATACTAATCAAAAGGGTGACTTGCTCTGCGCTGCCGTGGGAGGAACCAGGTCCCCCTTGGCCCTTAAATGGGCCCATGCCACCTCCCTTACGAAGCCTTTGTATCCACAAGGATACAGAGCCTGAGCTTTGTATCCACAAGGATGCAAAGTTCGAAACATATGCTCCGAGAGAGAGAGAGAGGGGGGGGGAGAGATAGCTGGATTGAGCCCGACGAAAGACATTACCCCGTATTCCAATAGGTGTTTAGTTGCATAATCTCCTAAGTCACGTGGCATTCGTCTTCTTGCCAAGCAGCCATCCTTTACGCCGAGGTGTTTTTGTGATGATCAGCTTTAATATGGAACCCTGTTGGAGGAAGATGGTGCTTCCAAATATTGTTTCTGTCATTGTGCTACCCTGAAATACGGCAGTGCGTTCACAGGTATTGTTATGTTGACACAATCAAACAAGGCTGAACGAAAGGATAGCAAGTGTATCAAAATTTCCGTTGTTCTGCGTTTTTGGGCCCTTAAGATCCATGGCAGAAAAATAATTGTCGCCCGTCTTAACCAAACGCCATAAATTTCGGAAAAGTTTTTTGTGTTTTTTATGCGTTCGATCCCCCCCGAACCTTTTGCATCCTACAAGGCTCCATCAAGCCGACCGTCGCACTGCCTGGACGGCCTGCGCTGTTGCCGGCTGGAAATCCCGGCAGACCAGTCCGGCACCGGCGTGGCGCCGCGGCCGATGACGCGGCCTCTGCACCGCACCCTCGTCCGTTACTCGTGGGGGTGTGCGACAGTCGTGTCTCGCGCACGGTCTGATTCGCTCCCACGGCACCTGCCTGGCTGCCGTCCAGGAACGCTCGGGGGCGGCGCTCAGGTCAGGGGGGTCACAAGCCTAGTCATGGGCGGGGCCTTCCCCCTGTGTCGGCATTTATTCTTCCTGCCACAGGTAGCTCCTGAGAAAAAGCTGAGCGTCATTGTGGTGCGTTGTCACAAAGCTCCAGGCACCCGTCTGGAGGAAATCCTGGTTGTGCCTCTGGATGGGATGATTCGGACTGTTGCGTGTGACCCCGTGGCTCCCTGGTGGCTGTGCAGTACATGGACGTGCGCTTCGGATGTGCTGACTTCGTGGCCCAATGCATGTAGGAATGCAGGAACATCATGCTATTTTTGACAGGAACGGAACTGGTTTGGACTTGTTTTATGTCACCACGAGTTCTTTTATCATGCACCAGCGTTTGGTGCAGATGGTTCCGGACGTGCCCAGTGTGCCCAGCGCCCGAGAGCAGACGCCACCACGCCGACATCCGAGCCCGGTCTACCGAGACCGCGCATCGCCACTGGCGCCCCGGGCCCGCGGGCGTGCCGTGGCCGAGCGCTAGCCGCGACACGGCGCGGCAGTGACGCCTCCTCCGCCGGCAGACCCGCGGCAGGAGATGGACATGCCATCCCGGGAGGAGGTGGACGCCGGCCAGGGCAGCCGCAGCTCGGCCGGCCGCGCCGCCCGCGAACGCAGCACCATGAGTCAGATCACCGGCATCAAGAAGCCGCTCTGCCACGCAAACAGCCTGCTGGCCGAGACTGCGCCCAAGTACGGCGTCGAGACGTCGCAGGAGGTCGAGCTGGGCAAGGTGAGTCGCGTGGAACTGGGCAGGGATATTAGTGTAGAGCTGGACAGGGGCAGTGGCGAAGAGCTGGGCAATGACAGTGGCGAAGAGCTTGGCAAGGATGGTGACGTAGAGCTGGGTAGGGCCATTAGCGTAGAGCTTGGCACCGGTGTCCTGCCTGGGCCAGGTGTCGAGCTGGGTAGGTACCGTGGCAAAGAGCTGGGCAGGGACGGCGGCGAAAAGCTGGGCAGGGACAGCGGCGAAGAGCTGGGCAAGGATAGTGACGTAGAGCTGGGCAGGACTATTAGCGTAGAGCTGGGCAGGGACAGCAGTGCTGAGCTGGGCAGGAACAGTGTCGTAGAGCTGGGCAGGGGCAGTGGCGTAGAGCTGGGCAGGGATCGTAGCGTTCAGCCGGGGGGGGGGGGGGGAGGGTAGGGGCAGTAAAACACAGCTGAATAGGGTTTGTGTACAGCCGGACCATGCGGGTGACGAAGGGCTTGGTAAGGCCAGTAGCTTAGAACCGGGCACGATCTGAGCGGTGGTGTTCGGCAAGATCATTGAGTTGGATAGGGTTAAGTAAGATGGGCGAAACAAGCGGTATAGAGTCGGGTCCTTGCCATCCACGATATTTTTCTTCCTTTTTCAACTTGGCGCATTCCTATGTCCTCCTTCGTGGGCTGCTTCCCATTTGCCACAGTCATCACGTGGTCCATCTCTGGCCCCTCCCTGATGTCATCATGTGGTTCATCTCTGGCCCCTCTCCGATGCACCCGGCCGGCGTCCTCTCTAGGTCAGCTAATCCCCGGTCGTTGCCCGTCCTAAACCGTCAGAGGCTGTTCCTTCCCTACTTTCCACTTTTCACGCCACCACGTCCTAAACCTCTTCCTGGCTGTCGGTACGTGGCCCTTCCCGCCCATCATGGGTGGCCTCTTGATGGCCGTCAGCGCCATCACCGGCTGTTCCTCGCCTACCCACCGGCCGTCCCTCGGGCGATCCCCTCCCCTCTTCCCACCTCACCCCGCTGGTCCGCGGAAGCCAGCGTGCCGTCCCTTGGCTGACACTGCGGCGCGGGCCGGGAGCGCTCCGACGTAGTAGGGCGTCACCGCCGACCCTGCCGGTATCGACTGCCGGCGGCGGCGACGCAGAAGGCAGAACGCAGAAGGCGGGAAGGCCGGCGGCGAGCTACGGCCGAGAATCGCGTCGCCAGCGCCGCTTTGTGCCAGGCCGCGGGACATTGTCTGCCCTCCCCGTGTGGTCATCAAAGAAGGAATGTGCCGTTCCGGTTTTGTGCTGAAGGGCTGCTTCCGTCGGTCTTTCTCGAGTTGCCATGCGTGATGGCTACGTGTAGCCGCGCTTCTCTTGTTGTACGCACTTAATTATGTCTGCGGGATTGTCTGGTATCCTTGTCTTCGTCATCTTTTTCCGTCTGCCGGTGTCGTTATATTGTTCGGTCCGTCTGTGTCCGTCAGATTGAGCCGTGTTCGGTCCGTCTGTGTCCGTCAGATTGAGCCGTGTTCGGTCCGTCTATGTCCGTCAGATTGAGCTGTGTTCGGTCCGTCTGTGTCCGTCAGATTGAGCCGTGTTCGGTCTGTCTGTGTCCGTCAGATTGAGCTGTGTTCGGTCCGTCTGTGCCCGTCAAATTGAGCCGTGTTCGGTCCGTCTGTGTCCGTCAGATTGGGCCGTTGTGATCAACGTATTCGTTCCGTTGTATTGTGTCCGTTTCAGTGTCCTGGCGAATTATCTCGTCTATACCGCCCATTTATTTTGTCTGCCCTGTCCGTTGGCCTTGTCTGCGCTGTTTGGCTGCCACGCTGGCCCCGTCCGGTTGACTCTTTAACCGCAGATCCTTCCGTCCGTCTTATGTTCTCCGTCTGATGTCTTGTCCGTAGTCATCATCCTCATCACCATCATGATGGGTCGTAAACCACTGCTTGCGCTGGTTGCGTGGTAGTCAGCGATCCTAGATATGTGCCGTTGGCAAATCGCGTTGTGCGTTGCGCCGTCTCGTTGAGTCTTCTTTTCCGTCTGCTCTGGTCTACACCGCCTTTTTCGCGTACCTGATACGCATCGATTACTTATATCATCTGCTCCGTCAGCTTATCTTCTGCCCTGTTCGTTTGTCTCGTCTGTTTCTCCCGCTGCCTGGTCGTCTGTTTTGCGCAGCCTGTTTGTCTCGACATCCTCGTCTGTTTGTCTACTTTGCAGGGCATGCTTGGCTTCAGCTCCGTCTGTTTGTCTCGCCTGCGCCGTCTGTTTGACTGACATACGCTCTTCTGTTATACGTTTGTCTCATTTGCGTCGTTTATTCGCTTCGTCTGCTGCCTGTCTTCCGCTCCGTCTGTCTGTCCTCACCCGCCCCATCTGGTTCTCCCGTGCGCGTCGCCCGAATGTCTCCTGACCGTCGCCCACCTGTCTCCTGAGCGTCGCCGCCTGTCTCCTGACCGTCACCCGCCTGTCTGCTGACCGTCACCCACCTGTCTCCTGACCGTCGCCGCCCTGTCTCCTGACCGTCACCCGCCTGTCTGCTGACCGTCATGCTCCGCTCCGCCAGGCGCTCGAGGATCTGGACAAGTGGGGTGTCGACATCTTCCGCATCACGGACCTGTCCGCCGGCCGGCCTCTCACCTGTGTCATGTACACGATATTTGTGGTGAGTCTGGGGATGGTCTCGGCTGTCGACCCACGTCCGGGAGCATACGGACGCGTTGGCGCGGGCTACTGGCGGGTGTTGCCGGTCTGCCATGGAACCGCTCGCTCTGCTTTGAATGGCTGTAGTGGTGTTTAGGTGGGCGGCGCTGGTTTCGCGTGAAAACAGGACACCTATTAAAGTAGGTGGCATTGAAAAGTTACTTGACGGCAGCGTGAGGTCTAGGCTTTTATTTATGGTATGCAGGTTCACAAACTTCCGTAATGGTTCTATGGAACCGGAGAGACTCGGTTATAATTGTCAAATAAACAAAGTAGTAAGTGCCGTAGACCAAAAATAACTGGCTTTACCGTAACTTTATTGCCGCTGCAGCCAGCCCCCGCATAGTTTTACGACGCAGAACCGCATGCACGATCTGCCAAAATCATTAGCTCGTAAACCAGCTTGCCATGTCGCTTCCAGGAGCGGGACCTTTTGAAAACGTTCAAGATGTGCCCGAAGACGTTCATCACGTTCATGATGACGCTGGAGGACCACTACCTGAAGGACGCGCCGTACCACAACCGGGTGCACGCGGCAGACGTGGTGCAGTCCACGAACGTGCTGCTCAACTCTCCGGCGCTGGAGTCTGTCTTCACGGCGCTAGAGATCCTCTCCGCCCTGTTTGCCTCGGCGATACACGACGTGGATCATCCGGGACTCACCAACCAGTTCCTCATTAACACCAGTGAGTGACCCGCCGAACTCAGGCCCTGCTCTGGTGCATGTTAGGGCCGCTTGGTGGGCTGACATCGCAGTCAGAAAAATAGTTTGTTTCCCACGTCTGAATGCGGCAAGCCAGGCTGTGCTGTTCTGACGCTGACTGGCGTTGATGTGCCGATAGGACACTGAATAGCGCTACCGTACTGTTCTGACACTGACTAGCGTTGCTGTGCTGTTCTGACACTGACAAACGCTGCTGTGCTTTTCTGACACTAACGAGCCATGCTTTGCTGTCCTGACACTGGCTAGCGCTGCTGTGCTGTGACACTGACTAGCGTCGCTGTGCTGTTCTGACACGGACTAGGCGCTGCTGTGCTGTTCTGACACTGACCATCGCTGCAGTGTCGATCTGACACTGATAAGAGTTGCTACACCGTTGTGACAGCGACTTGTCGTACCGTGCTGCTGTGACACTGGCTGGCGTTGCCACGGTGTTCTGGCATTGCCCAGAGTTGCTGTGCTCTTCCAACTGAGACTAGAGTTGCTGTGCTGTTTTGACACCGACTAGCGTTGCTGTGCTGTTCCGACGGTGGCTAGCGTTGCTGTGCTGTTCTGATAATGGTCAGCCGTGCTGTGTCGCGCGACGCTGGCCAGTTGTGCCGTGCTGTTCCGATGCTGATCAGCTGTGCTGATCTGTCTGACGCCTGTCGTTCCCCCGTTCCCCTGCGACAGTACGGACTGTTTAGTGCGCGTTCCTCGGCGCTTCTTCAACGCTACGCCGCGCAGTGCTGGCTCCTCAGCCCTCTTACGCGGCCAGAGTGGGCCATCAGGGTCCTATGTAATCCCCAAAGGTCGGCGGGAAGAGGCAGTTAAGTGCCAACACGGGCTCACTCACGGACTCGACTTCACGTCGTAATGGGTGTCGTGCCGTAATGGGCGTCGTGTCTGGACGACTGTGCGGAGCGGTCGTCTTCCACGGTCGGTTTCTGCTAAGCTTGTCGTAGCGCTCACGCGTGTAAATTTGACGTCAAAATTATATTTCATTATTTTGTATGGCGTGGTGAGTTGGCACAACCTAAAACAAGACTGCCACGCGTTCTCGTTTTCTTGGAAAACTCGTGCACCCTAGGGGACGTGACCAAGTGAAACGTTGTTGGGTTTAGGCTGACTTATCCTCCAGCCGTCTAAAGATAGAGATCCGGTGGCATTAACAACTCCGTGGCTGAAGCTTGATTGCGATTCCCAGCCGGTGCCAAAACCAATCATCGCTGTGAAATACCCGAAGAGGTGTTCGCTTCACGCGACTGAATCATGTAAGGAACTGCGATGAAGAATTGCTTTACTGAATTCGGATATATGTATTCGTGCGTATGATGAATATGGTTTATTCGGTGCCGAAGGCAAATGCGACGTGACTGGGATGGATGCCAGATGTAGAACTGATCCGACTCCCCACGTGTCTGATATTACTCCCCACGTGTCTGATATTACTCCCCACGTGTCTGATATCACTCCCCACGTGTCTGAGATCACTCCCCATATGTCTAAGAGAACTCAAACGTATGGGACTCCCCACGTGCATGAGACGGTCGCGTTCAGCTGCTGCGTAGCCAGTCACGGGCGTGCGGACACCAGAGCTCCGTGTTCGCCCGTAACACTCCATTTCGTGTTAGTGAATGGTCGGCAGGACTCCTCGTCTTAACCGTTGAAACCCAGTGCCAGAGATTATATTATGTTCTTATCTCGGACATCGAATGCGCCACGCGTTTTTGTGTGCAGTAATGCCGGATGTCCAAGCTCTTTTGTGAATCTGGAGGAAGCTGGACGATGAGTTTGCGTCGCCTGCAAGTCTATTCTTTTCTGTTGGGGAATACATCTCAGAGGCAAAGGAAATAAAGCTATCGTGCTGTGTGTATGTCTGTCTGTCTGTTTGCCTGTCTCTGTGTCTGTCTGTCTTTGTGTCTGTCTCTGTCCCTGTCTCTGTCCCTGTCTCTGCCTGTGTCTTTCTGTGTCTCTGCCTGTGTATCTCCATGTCTCTATGTGTGTCTGCGTGTCTGTGTCTGTGTGCATGCGTGTGTCTTTGTCTATGTTTGTATATGTGCTTGCGTATGCGTGTGGTGTCTGTGTCTGTGTGTGCGTTTGTGTGCAGCCCGATTGCTGATTGACAAAATTGCTCTCATCTCCAGGCTCTGAGCTAGCGTTGATGTACAACGACGAGTCGGTGCTGGAGAACCACCACCTGGCCGTGGCCTTCAAGCTGCTGCAGAATGAAAACTGCGACATCTTCTCCAACCTCACCAAGAAGCAGCGCCAGTCGCTGCGGAAAATGGTCATCGACATGGTGAGTTCGGTGGCCAGCTTCTAACGCAGCAGTCCGTAGCGTAGGGTGGGCTGTCACGGGATTGGTGAGTTGTGTCCTGTATCCTGATTTGAAATACCGTGTGGACAGTCGAAGGGGCGTTTGCGCTGTCGTCACCAGGAGTTCAGTCGACTCGTAAGAGGCCACAGTGTCAATCGTTTCGTGAGAGGCTCCGGTGTTGTCTGTCTAGGGTAGTGTTGCCGCGAGGGGATGTCGGTGATTGGTTGTCATGTTGCCAAGTACTAATGGGTGGTCCGTGTAAGGAGTCTCGAGCACCGTATTCAGGCCCCGTATTTGACTGATGACTCCATGGTGACTCCACTGGTGACTCCATGTTCTTGACGCTCGTCAGGTCCTCGCCACGGACATGTCCAAACACATGAGTCTGCTGGCCGATCTGAAGACGATGGTGGAGACGAAGAAGGTGGCCGGCTCCGGCGTGCTCTTGCTCGACAACTACACCGACCGAATACAGGCGAGCACATCCCCACCCCTCGTAGCTCGGCTCCTCCGGCCGGCAACCGCGCGCGGGCATCGATCCCAGCCCATCGACGCGTCTTCCCGAGAAGATCCCGGGAAGGACGCAGTCGCGAGCGACGCGGCCGTCCCGGCCCGGCCTGGCAGGACGGAAAGCGATGCCATCCAGGCGGTCGCGAACTTCTCAGAGGTCTCGTGCGTCACGGGCTTGTTGGAAAGGGCGACGACGGCTGCGGCGGCGGTGGTGGTGGTGTCTTGACCGGCGCCGCCCCCGCCGCGATGCTGTGGTACGCCCACCCGTGCCTTCAGCTCGCCCTCTGCGGCAAAGCGTCGGTAAAAATAGCTGGCCGCCGCCGCCGCCGCCTCCGCCGCCCTGGCCGCTGGCGCGCCGGTGGGCCGCAGGGCGACAGTGGCGTCATCTGCTCCGACCAGACCAGGCGCGGGAGGCTCGCGACACCGCAGCGCTGCGCCGTCTGTGTGGACAGGGGTGGCTCAGTAAGATCGATGTATGCAGAGAGCTCACTGTAATCCTACATGGTGTGCATGGTGCAAAGCATGGTGGTAAACTTGCATGTGCAAGCCCGTTTTCGTTGGGGACGCTACGTCTTTAAACTTGACGGCGTATTCCGAAGCAGCGTGGCGAGGCAAGCTGTGGATGTTTCGCCTGTCCCGTCTCACATCAGTCACGTAACAACGTGTCGCCGTCGCCTCCGCAGGTGCTACAAAACATGGTGCACTGTTCTGACCTGAGCAGTCCGACCAAGCCGCTGGAAATCTACCAGCGCTGGGTGGGTCTGGTCATGGAGGAGTTCTTCCACCAGGGAGATCGCGAACGTGAGATCGGCATGGACATCTCACCCATGTGCGACCGCCACAACGCCACCGTCGAGAAGTCTCAGGTCTGTACCGAGGAGCGCTGAGAAGCGGGGCGTCCCGTGGACTCGGGTGGGGGGGGGGGGACGGCTGGATAGGTTCTCGCTCCTGTGATGTACTGTTCTGCACTGCTGTTGTAGTTGTTCGGCGTATGTGGCGGGAAATCGGGCACCTTAAACGGCATTTTGTGAGAACTGAATCAGGGACATAGGAGCGATTTAGCATTGAATAGGGTATGACTATCATGAGACGTTGTAAAGGAGACTTTACGACGCACTTAGCTGCTGACTTTTTATGGCGTCACCTGCTTGAGTCGAACCCCGTACCTCCGGTGTCCCAGACGCGCAGTGGTTAACGAAGACATGTTAGCCACTACGCTATCAGCACCTCTCCTTGAAACCGTCAAAGCCGTCGTAATGTACTTAACAGACCTTACCGGCGATGAAGTGAACCTACAGATGATACTGATATAATGACGTGGCGGATGTCGAAGCAGGCCCGAGCTGTTCACATGACACGCGCCTGTTCACATGCGACCCCTACCTCGCGGCCGTCTGCCCTAGCCGTGACACCGCCGCCGCCACTGACATCCCCTCGTTGCTGTCTGACCCGACCGTGCCAGTGCCGCCACCACTGATATCCTCCTCGTCGCTGTCTCCCCGGCCGTACCAGCGCCGTCACTGACGCCCCCGCTCCGCCAGGTGGGCTTCATGGACTACATCGTGCACCCGCTGTGGGAGACGTGGGCCGACCTGGTGCACCCGGACGCCCAGGATATCCTGGACACGCTCGAGGACAACCGCGACTGGTACCAGTCCATGATCCCGCTCAGCCCCAGCTCGTCCAGCCACGAGCTGCGCGAGGACGGCGAGGAGGACGAGGCCGAGGAGCCGGTGCGCGTGCAGATCACGCTCGATCGGCCGGACGCCGGCGCCGGCGCCGCGCCGCCGCGGACCGGCGACTCGTGAGGTTGTGATACTGCGCGCGCCGCCGCCCTCAGATACCTCAACGCGTTTTTCTACGACTGGCGGCCGGCGGCGGCGGCTGTGACGGGCGCGGAAGGGCGCGCCGGCGGCGCTCGCGGCTCGCGCGACTCGTGCCAAAGTGGCGTGCGGAAATGGTGGCACAAATGGCGCCGGATGGCCGGAGAACGCGGCACACCGGCCAGCGACGACTGAAGGCTCTGTATTTTTGCAGGAATTTGTCGTAGTCTTGTTTTCCATGGAGGGTCGGGCGCTCGCTGTTATTCCGCCTCGCCGGCCGTGGACATGTGGCACAATAGCCTAGTGTAGCAGCACCGTTCGCACGCAGCCGGCGGCGGCTCACCGACGGACGGGCAGCCCTTGCTGCCGGCTCGCTGTCGCGTTTTGCACTATATCGGGCAGCCCCAGCATCTCCAGGCGCTGCCGAACTGTGTCCCGAGTCATTTTAGATAAGTCTTCGTCGTGCGCTTGGGTTGGGGTCGCCTGGGTACCTCACTATCACCTAAGGTTATACGAGCGCGCGCGTGCCGTGCAGGTTATTACGATGTGGCTCCCTATTTGGTCAGCTGGTCTGCAGCCACTTTGTTGTTTTTCATTTTATTTGTAAGTTTTACCCTCACAAATTTAACCTCTCAGTACAATTGGGTTATCCTGCATGTGCAATATGTTCACTTCAGTGTTGTGCTTGGTTCGGAAGGCGTGGCAAATTGACTGGCGCACAGTGGTGTAAATAATCATTCACGTAGGTCTCCGATTGGTGCTTTCCAGCGCGCCATGCACCCAAACTCCGAGTAGTCTACCGTCTAGCGCGTCGTTGGAGCTTTAAGTCTACGATACCTAGGTGTTTAAGAACGCCCGTTGGCAAAATTGCGTGATGCACCTGCTAATAAGCCTGTCTCCAGCAGCCCCCACGGCCGCCGAGCGCTGAGCGCGTGGTCGCACCTATTTTAGGGGCCCGTCTCTGTTCCCCTCGGCCAAGATTCGGGGACGCCGCGCATCAATTGTTCATCGTGAGAGCAAGATGGGTACCTGTATGTTATAACTAACGCAGAAAATAATAAATGTATGTTTTAAGATCGGTTTGTTTTACTTACGTTGGTACATTAGCCTTTGGTCGAACTGGCAACAGCACCATATCAGTGCGCAACATTTTGAACTCAATAGTCCTTGTCGTCGTTTATTTTACTGCAACTTGATCTCCGCTTTTTTCGCGAATTGGCTTCCTACTAGTAAGGGAGAAGCAAGGACGGTTAACATCCACTGGAACAGTAGATATGTCGGGACACGCTTCCTATACGTTTTTGCGTGTAGAGAGTGTGGTGCTATCTCGCTTTTAGCAGCATGAAGCTCGGTTCATGAAAAATTGTGCTGTGTTCATTCGTATTCATTAACATTTAAACCCTTTATGCAGGCGGCTTCGATTGCAGCGTTGAGATTTGGAACTCAAACATCCGGGTCATATTTACACGGAAAATGCAGAACTCTGATTGTAAACAACCAGGCATCACGGGGCTGAAAATGTCCAAAGATCAATACATTTTTCGCAAAGGACAAACGGATGATCATACCTGCACTTTGGGTTGATGTGTCCAGCCGATCATGGGCTACCGAAAATCTTGCTCTGGTCCACCCGTTTTAAGGCAGTTGGAAGCGGCCCAAGTTTTGGTGACTGATGTAATTAATGTCCGATCTCAGCAACCGTAGTAGATGCAGACATGAAATTAGGCACCAAATAAGCAAAAGTGTCGGGTGCAAAACGCTTGGCAATGTTCTTATTGCTCGACTCACAGCATTGTCAGGTGTCGACCGATCCACGGTCATGGTCAGTCCTTTCCAAAGTCGGTGACCTTGCGTGGTCTGCCCGGAGTGCCTGTGCCATGGCATTATGGAGGTGGGTGGACATTGAAAATCATGCACGGGAGATTTAAGAAAGATTCAAGCGAGATAAGGGGGATTCAAGGGAGGCTCTGGGTAGATTTAAGCAATATCCCGTCACGGTGAATTGTATTCGGTTATCACATGAAGTCTCGGCTGGACCACCCCACACACAACGGCAAACTGCCGCACGCAACGCCGACAGGGAGACTCACCCTACGCGCCCGGAGCGGCACCTCTCATACTCCTTCCAAGCCCACCCGCAACACGATCGGCGTGCGACTCGCCGGCGCCACCGCGTCCCACCCCATCGGCGTGTCCACGGGCTAACGCGCCGCCCCTGAGCCGTGATCGTTCCCCTTACTTGGGCATGGAACATTTTACTCGGCTTACGCCCTTCTCGGCTCACATGTTAGCATTGTCCTGGGGCATGATCTATTGCTACATGAATATTGCTTAAATCTACGCAGAGTAGCTTTACTTTTGCAGTATTTTTGCTACAGTTACCAAAACGTGAAGCTGTCCAAATGTTTTTATTTCTTTTATGAAAACTGACGAGCCTTACATGGCGCAGGCCATTGCATACCACCGGCCAAAACTCAGACAATGCACGACAATTTAAGCAATTTAGCAGTATCGTCTATAAGCAGCGTGCAGACGTCATGCATCAAACCCCTCCGCCTGCCAAACTCAAGAAAAATCACATTTGTTAACGTTGATCAGCCCATTTGTGCGGGTGCCTCACGTGGTGGATTTCATTCGCTCCTGCTTTGGAATCATCTGCACAGCTCAGTTCATATGTACAGAACGGTCCCGTCCGCTATCAATTCCCTTTCGCGCCCCGCGCTCCAGGAAGTGTCCGCTGGCTCTGCTTCGTTGGAGATATTACCAGAGCATGTTTGGCATGCATTTGCTCAGTTTTTTATCGACATTTGCAACGCCTACTGGTCAAACTGTGGAAGCTAAGCCTGAGCTCGCGCCACGGCAAGTTCAAGTGTTCAAGTTCAAGTCAAGTCAAGTCGTTTGTTCAGGCTTCATACGATGCGTATGAATAGGGAATTCCACGCAGGCGCGGCCCGCTGGGAGAGGGTTCTCTGCGTAGCTGCCAGTGACATCTCTCCAGCTGCGGCTCTCCCGCGGCGGCGACTGCTCTCATTCCCCTGGGACACCTGCGAGCGTCTAGTAAGGGCAGCCCGAGGGCGGATAGGCGGCCACGTTCCCTCAGTGCACTGAGCACTCAGTCATATCACATCAATGTGTAGCTGACAGCGTGGCTGCCCAGAGCCAGGCGTGGCGCGGGGCGCCGCCAGTCGTACCGAGCCGTGGCAGGCGCAGCGCTTTTGCCGTCAATATTGTGACGATCTGAAACTGAGGCGAGTGATCAGGCGTTGCAGTGGCCTGCTCGCGAATGATTCATTGCGGGTGGTGGCAGGATTCTGTCGAATTAGAGGCATCGGAGAGAGAGACGCAGTTCATAATCTTCAGTCGAAACTGGGCATTTTGTACCTCTCAGTCGGTATGCGAGATCATATTTTATAGCATTATACGAGGCAGTAAGAAGCCTGTCGTGTTAACATTGGCCACAGATTACTGATCCATCGAGAACATGTAGTTATGTTAACGCCGTGGTCTTTGATATTCAATTGAGAGGAACTAACAGATCTCGCCAGACTTATCGAGCTTTGCGTTCGTACCACATTTACTGGAAGTTTTCTTTATTTTTGCTGCACTTACACGTTTCATTGCACAATTTGCATGTCTTGTTGACTCTAGCATGTTTTTGTGTTACTTCCTGAGTGTTTTGGTGTTATTCAGCGGTGTTTCAAGACATATGGGCTGCAACAACTCGGGTTCCCTGTGACATTCTGCAACAATGCGTTAAGAAAAAATTGAAAGAGACCGGTCAAGCACTAGCTCCCAAAAACTGCGAGTTTACAAGCCTGTCCGTGCGGAAGAACCATTAGAACATGCTGACTTCCACCTCGGCATGAATATTTCATGAAACAGTTACGAGACCCTGACGATAGGGGGTCAATAGGGGTGAAACTGGGGCCAATGCGACTGCCCTTAGGTTTTCCGGGTATACCTATCCGGCATGTTGTGCAATCGCGCCCAAACTTTCCAGTTGTCCACAGGGCATCCATTGCACGTGTTTTGGCACCAAAAACGTGTTCCTGTAACATACTTCGAAGCAGCAGTGGTTTCTGAGAACCACTTCGTGACAATCTACGGCGAGCACAGACTGCGGACGGCGACAGACGATGCCGCGGAACGTGCGTAGCGGCCGACATTGCTACATTAGCAAACCCTCATATCAAAAACACGTGCTCAAAGCCGCCATAGCCTGCACTGTTGTTATCAAAATTAAACAAGGAATAAGCTCTTTTACTTTTCTGTTGCTAAAAGGCATGACCTTTGACATATGAACTTGTAAATCTGAAGAAGTGGGATTTTCTGGAAAGTTTGCCTTTCACCTGGCACAATGAGGTCAACTCATGCCACCGAAAATGCAACTTGCCACCAATCGCGAGCTCTCGTTAGGACCCTTCCACTGGTGTATTTTTGCTTAGCTATACTTCCTTAGTTTGGAAACAGCAGGAGGGGGAGGTCGCGTCAACCCTCCCAGCCATTCGCGCTATGACAAACTGCGAAGCAGGGCGGGGTCAATAGTCGCGCACATCAACTCACACCCTTTATTTTCGAAGCCACACAAGTTCAACAGCGTCTAAAGCCCATTGGCCTTACGTCAATTACCGAAACCTGGTTTCGACCATCGTGGTTCGACAATATGGTGATAATGCTCAACGCCAACATCTCCCGCCGAGGCAGACCGAGAAAATCTGTTGTAACAGGGGTGCAGTTTCCTATTCAGTCTTCGGCTTTGGAACTTTCATATTTCTTTCCTTATCTCATGTATGTTGGGGCAGGTTTAGCCGTTTTCCCCGGTCAGCGCCCCAGGGCCATTTTCCGAGACTACACCTCTGTGGCGGGGCTTTATAACCGCGATGCGTGGCGGATTAGCCACTACATTATTTTACTTCTTCCAGCCCACAGTACCGCTGTAAAGTGAAAAGCGCTTGAGTCGAGGGGGCAGTGGATCAAAATGGCCGTGCATAGTTCTCACAGCGCAATTCCCAAGGACTTCGACCATAATGAGAATAAAATAAAAACGGAATCGATTTCGCGCACCGCACATCGCACAACAACAAGGTGCTGAACGAGTGAAATTGAGGTCTGCAGAGCCGCAAATTTTGATTTAAGGAACGCTATATTTCTAGCACACAAATCTGGCAAGCGCATTGAAGGGAAATCTATATGATATGAATGCATTTTTAAAAATGTCAAGACCAGAGAACTTCATCATCGAGCTTATAAAGACATGAGAGCCTTCCTTTCTATTTTCAATGAAATGAGTCAAAATAAGGTCAAAACTAAAAAGGACCTAAGCCATGTTTGCCAGAGCGCATCAACTCTTTTTCAGAATATATAGTTTATTATATAAATAATTCAGAAATAGACTAGTGAAACAAATTACATATAAATTATTAAGCAAGCATGCTAATTCTCGGGAACATTATATCTTATAATTGTATCTTATATCTTTATCATTATCTATCTTATGTCATTATATCTCATCACTATATCACTATATCTTAGAAGCACACTATTCTTAGGAACAAGCATACTAAAGGACCAGGGTTGCAGTTTACATCAAACCGAGCGGGTTGGCCGCTGCAGATAACACCAGGCGGCGGGAGGCGGGCGCGCGAGGGCGGCTGTTGCGAAATTATACCTTCCTAAAGTCTTTCAAAATCAATGCGCATTGCTCAAAAACTAGACTAGGATGTGTGTTTCACCGATACCATTTTAGGTGCGACCTCTGAACTGTTACAGCAGCGCAAAAAAAAACTAAATTGCTTCTTTACTTTCCCAGTTTCGCCACCAGATTCCAGCGCCTTTGGGCGGTTAAATGCTAATTCGTTCTCATGCTAGTCTAAAGATCGTACAGGTAAAAGACTCGTCCGGAGCGCCTCCTAAGCACGCTATTTTACGTTCTAAAGCGTTAACAGGTACTTCTTTCAGATGCATGATCCTTTCCGTCCGCTCGTGGCCACCGGAAGTAACCGGAGAGGGGAGAGGGCGGCGCCGTGCTGCCTATGGAGACTGCAACGCCGGACAACCGGGCTTTTTTAGGACTTGCGGGCGGGCATGCTTGTAACTCTCTGGTTTAATTTTTCAGCATTCAATTTAAACTGAGGGTTTAGAAGTCCAGACGAGTGTGTACTGGTGCTACTGACTGTTTCCGCATTTGGGCTTTGGCCTGTGGAATGCTTGTGTCCTAAATAAACAAATAAACACTATCGATACAAAATTTGGATCTCATTCCGACCTATAATATACGTTCACGGAATCCTCAATACCTTTCTCTGCAGACCCCTAAACAATAAAGCAAGGCCTCCGAGTGTCACCAGTTAAGTAGAGTCCACTTAACCACTTAACAAATAAAATAGCACCGGTGATTTATTTCATGTAGGGGGGAGTGGGGAAAGAAGGGAGAGTTGTATCAGTTCTCACTCTGCGCCCTCTCCTGATATTTTTAGTGAGGATAGGGATGCGATTATCATGTCTTCACACAGCTATGGCCTTCAGCTTCATATCTAGTGCTGAACTTTTGGAGCGCAAGTTTTTGTTTTTGGATAAATGACTTCTAAATGACCTCCTTTCAAATAAGACAATCATTTTTTGTGCGACTAGTGCCACCTCGTTTTCGGTCATTTAGGTGGAGATCATATGTTTACGTAGGTCATGCAAGCATAGACTTGTTTTCTGGATGTCAATAAATCATGAAAATCATGTCAGTCATTCATTGACAGTAAGTCAGGTAAAGACATAAATGGTCATCGTATCACTGGTGCAACATGACCGATGCACGCGTATTTTTCCGGTAGATACAAGAGCGTCCTAGTGAAGAAAATCTGCTGTAAAGCTATCCAATGAAACGAGCTTTCTCGTCTGGCTGCTCGGTCTGCGAAATACGAAACGAAAACATCACACGCCGGTACGGATGTGCGATTGGCTGCAGTCAAGGCCCCATAGTAACAGCGCAACAGCGCAGTGGCGGCGTAACCGTAAGAGTTCCGAAGTCAAAAGTCAACTCAAAGATGAGAGGGCAGCGATGCTGATGAAGATGAGCGAATTGCATACCGTCAAACTTCAAGCACTTTCAAGTGTGCGGCTCTGGTCAAATTATCACCGCGGTATCCTTCAAACTAAAGGCTTCGAGTTTGACATGAAAGATGTGCCTGTCTATCACGGTCAGTGATAGTGATAAGCAATGAGGGGGGGGGGGGTAGAAACAAAGATACCACGTATTGACTCCCGATGAATCATAAAAACGAACCTGCACCCCTATATGGGTGTAGTGCTACAAAATTACTTGGTGGTGAGTTTAACACGCGCTCGGGTGGGGGGCCGGCAAATTTTCCCACCCCCGAGGGTTTTTCCAGAATGGTTTCCGAATGGCGCGGGATAGCTACGCCAAATTTTGCATAGCTGTAGACAATTGAATAGCAGATCTTGCGGTATTAAGAATTTAGATGTACCCTGTAATGTCGCTTACCTACGACAGGTCAAAGTCAGACCATGTATTCTGCGAAGTCAGTTTCTAGTGAATCGCCCAGTCTGATACAAAAACGGAGTGTTGGACGAAGTGGTACATCTCTGAGATACTTTCTTAAGCAAAGCAACAATTGAATAGGCAAATTGCGTTGATCTAAGATCAGGTATGAAGGTCAGACCAGGGTCAAAACAAATGCATTTTGTTACTCTAGGGCTTGTTGTATGGGGTAGCTTTTGCCGCTCATTTCGAATTTATTGATAACAGGAAGCGCATTATACATCTCCCAAAGACTTATTTAAGGCCAAAATAAGTCACTGATCTAAAATGACTCGGGTGAGGATTTTGTTTTTTTTAGGAACATACCACCTAGCGTAATTTTTTCGCTTATTCAGATGCAAAGCTCAAAACAGTCTTGTATGATTTTGGTCAACATAACCTTAAAGTGTCAAACAAGGTCATTGACCTTAAATGAGCACGTGACTCTGCTCAGAACAAGTATATAGGTTCTGAAGTACTCTAAAAACCAGTCTGGGGATTGACTTTGTTTGACCTTATCTGACCCGAATGTCATGACATAGGAATCTCAAACTTGACCTGAATGAGTTAAGATATAGGCCAACGCACCTTGTGAATTTGTTGTTTCTAGCTCTTTTAGTTTCTGAGTTTCAGGGGAGGCCAAATTGACCCGCACCTGAGCGAAGGGTATCCAACCGGACACCCGGGCACGCGTTAACAATAGTTTAAGTGATCCCAATTATTACTAAATTACAACAAGAAGGATTCTCCAAAGATTTAGCCTGCTTTCCTCTCAAAGTTTGGGATGGGGTGGGTAAACCTCAGGCTTAAGATATTTGCGTTTGTGTCTGAGTTTGTCTAGAGCACGCCACAAGAAGTCACATTTGTGATGCCATTCGATAAGATAATGTGACATGCAGCTAACGTATCATGTTTCGCAAAATGAGTTAGGGAGAGACTGAGCAGTTAAAAGTTACGAGACTCATTTCAAAAGCACGCCACCGAACGGGGTTTTCTGCGGCTTTGCCGACGTTCTTCGCAAAGTTAAGGAGGCCGGAGTCTAAGCGTGGCGGGGCGACGGTGTTCTTTGTGCAACTCTGAGTATAGCGGTGTGTAGTTTTATGGGCTTGTCGCTACAAGTCTGAATGCCGAATGGCTTCCTTTACGTTTCCACCCACGCAAAAAGTAGATGAGCCCACCTTCTCTTCGGCTGGCTATTTCTTCAGGTCGACGAACAGCCTGTAATCGTCGAACTAGTTTTCCCGATCCTGGTACGATGAACCGGAAAACCTATCAAGGGAAATGTCAAGATTTGTCAGAAATCTTGTGTAAGCTTGAGTGACTGCTGCCAGCACCTTCGCGAGTCTTGACTCATCTTACAAGCAGGGCTCGCAAATACTCGAATCTCACATGTTACCCTTTTATCGAAGACCCGTATACCCGGCTCGTGACCTGACGCACACCCTGACCCTGTCTCCCACGCGGGCCGATCTCGTCACAGGTCACAGCACGCTGACTCGTATGATAGCTGGGTTTCACCGAATCAGAGGCCTGCTCCGACTACTCCAGGCCAACTCGCGGGACCAGGCAGCGCCAGGTGCCGGTCAACTCAACCACACAAAGTCGCAATATTATCACTCAACATGTTTGTAGCATATGTTTATGATGTGTGGCTCAGTGTACGCCCGCCAGTGTGCGGCCCAAGGAATCATCCGTTGCCGCCCGCCGCCCGCGCGGGCCCTAGATTGCCATGGAATGCTCCACATTCAGGGGGCACATGTGGAGCGATGACGACGACACTGGCCGGCGCTAGATGGAAAGACAAGGCAGGGCGAAGTGCAAGAGCCGAAGCTCATATTCTCATTGGGAAAGAGTGAAAGATCCTATCTCTTTTCTATTCGATTTATTTTAGCGAATTTCCTTTGCCCGTCCTCACTATGTCCTGTGCTGTACAGTGCTGCCCTCTTCATTTCTGTCCTATCCTGTTACGTAACCTCCACTCTTGTCCTGACTTACCTTGCCTCCTGTTCTGCACTGTCATCTCCTGTCCTGTGCAGGAGATGACAGTTCTCGTCGATGACAGATGACAGACTTCTCGTCTTTCTATTCTTGTCTCCTTTCATCCTGTCCCGGATGTCAATCTGTCTCATCCTGTTCCTGTTACCACCTATTCTCCGTCTTCTTCTGGCTGCTATGTTATGACCAGTGATACGGACTTCTATGGAGATTGGGATACGGAAAAACATATTGTTTCCCCCGTTCTTGATGTGTAATGCATGCCCATGTGCATGAACCCCTCTCCTATTTGCCTGAAGAATGTTTGTTTTTCAAATTTTATAATTCTTAATATCCTTTAGCTCAAGTTGTCTCCTCTACATTTCAGTCCCCGCCCCCTAATCCTGGTTATCCCCGTGATCATAGTCATGCTCGTAGACGCACATGCCAAAGGAAGACAAAAGTTATTCCTCAGTATGCTCTCTCATACATGCGTCTCAAAGTCAGTTAGTTTTTTTTTATTTCGTGGTTCCTTGACTCGTTCTTGCCCTGTCTCGTTTTCCTCATCTGTCAACAGCACCTAGTTCCTCACGCACGCCACTTCTGTGTTTAATGCGTATTAATCATGCTTGCCAAAGTCGTGTTCACAGCGGTGGCTGCCTGGGAGAAGAAAAGGAAGACCTCTCTAATCTGGTATCTTTGCGACACAGCTTTGCAAGGAGTAGCGTCTTTTTTATTTACTGGAAGAAACACGCCCTACGTAGGCGTACTGCGCACACCAACGCCTGCATTAGTATGCCGAGCACCTCTCCGAAGCATGCAACCAACCACGGTGGCAGGTCAGAGTATAACTGTGGGCGTGAATCTGGGTATAAACTGCCCCTTCAACAACTTAAGGTTCAAAGATACTGCCGACACCTGTAGCCTGAATGAACGGTTTGTGTTGGTGAGTATGGTTTATCATGATGGTATATGCTTCCATGATCCTCATGGCGTTACATGTTTTATTACCAGAATAAACGACAAGGAAGGCTCCGTCCGTACAACTGGTCTTCGGAAGCTATTAGTAACATGTTGTAGTTGTGCTATTGAGCTGGCCTTCGTAAGAAATCTCCCAAATGTTGCGTTAGAAATACGAATGTCTGTTCTAAGACATTCATTTCTTTTACGTTCTCTGTCACCATGACCATGCTTTAGTTCAAAGAGCACTGGAGCAGTGATAGGTATATTGCAGCAAGAGCATGCCAAGTTGCTGCTGGCAATCCGACGTCGGCCCTATGTACAGTACAAAATGGAGTTCACCGCCACTAGATCCGGATTACACAAACGCTGGGTCCTTAATGACTATGAATGCAATGAAGATGAAACAAAGACGTTCCACTTGCCATTTGCCTGGCAGTATATCTGTGTACGAAGCCGCGCATGGTTATTAGCCCCGACACAATGGAATTGATGCAGGAGTCTGTATGAGAGTCATAGCTGAGTAGCGCAAACCTAACACTGCCAGTTGGACTGAACCCCGGGCGAGTTCCAGCAAACAACGCAAACATCAATAATAATATCAGGTCCTATGTACAGTCGCTAAGTACGAACAAGTATTTAGTGCTGAAGAGATTGCATAGGAGTCCGTGTGCACGCATGCGACGTCGCCGGACGCTGCCAGAGGTCACCACCTGGGCAGCCGTCGGCCACAGACAGTCAGTCCCCACGTACGGTTGGCACAGAACGTCCGCCCCCCGCGCCCCCGCTTATGATAACTAGGCCGGCAAAATACACACGTCTCCAACATCTAACAGTTCGCTTGCGGTCGCGCGGCGGCGGCGCTCGCTCAGCCGCACTTCTTGCGACTGCACCGGCAGCGTTTCACCACCTGCAGCTGCTTGATGTAGCGGGTGCCGTCCTGGCAGAGCATCCGCACCTTGCGCGTCCGCCAGCGCTGCGGCCGGCAGCACGCGTTGCTGCACGAGCCGCCGCACGTGGCGTTGCGCACGGGCCGCCGCGAGCGGCACGCGTTCTCGCGCACGTACTCCTTGTACGTGTTCTTGCGGCAGGTGGGCGCTGGCGGCGCGAGGGCACGGCGTTAGCGAGGGACGGTCGCACGTGCGCGTGGCGACGGGCTAACGGCGAGTGGTTCTCACATAACGGGCGAACGTGCGAGTCAGCTGGTGCAGTTTGAAAACGCTAAGTGAGTGGAACTACTCAAGTTAAGAGGGCGGTATTCTTTCCAAGGTACGTGGACTTCGAATTCAAGATGCGAATTAACGGCTACCTATGGAGAGATTGTTGCTGCAAGAGGTTTCGTTCTCCTCTGAGTCCGTGAGGCGTTAGGACGCCCCTGCTTTTTGGCGTACGAAAATCAGCTCCAGGTGTACGGACATGGCTACACTACAAGTTTCTTACAACAATTTTCAATCATGCGACAGCGCTGCTCGCTTCTCCAATCATGTGAGTAAGAAAACGCAGATATGCAACTCTATTGTTGCTAAACACCGTTTAAAAACCCAAGACGCTGTTTCTCTCCACTGAACCAGTGGAAAGCCATTCTTCGCTCCAAATATCCTCCAGTGAGCATGTGTTCATTTCCACAAGGCATAGCGCTATTCTCCTCTACACTTCCCCAATTTGTCACGGTAATCCTATCGCTCCCGGCGACTGCCTACTCTCAAAAACACCATGAACATCCTGACCAGCCTGAGCCCCACCAGTCAGCACTCACCCTGGTCGCAGAGCTTCCCGCCCCAGCCAGGGGCGACAGCGACACTTGAAGTCGGCACCATGCGGCTTGCAGCGGCCCTTGAGGCAGGGGCTGGGCTCGCACGGGTTGACCGGCTGCGACTGCTGCTGCTGCTGCGGCGCACCGCCTGCCTCCCGCGAGCAGCCGGGGCTGACGCGGCGCCGGCCCGGCGTCTGCTGGAAGTCGCTCAGGTAGCCGTCGATGTATAGCTGCTTCAGACAGCCTGAGGGAGGAAGTGTCGGGTGTGAGATGAGGTGCAGAGCTGCGATAGGCAGAAGGATCGGGTGTTAGGTGGGGTATAGAGCTGCCTTAGGCAGCCTCAGGCCAGGGGATGGGGTGTTAAGTGTGGTGTTCAAGACCCTCAGACGGCTTATAAAGCCAGATGAAATGTTCGATGAGTTGCGCACCACTCGGATATATTGGGTTACCTGCGACAGCTACGTAGGGGTTTTAGACGGATTGCAGAGGCACTGTTGACAGCCCCGTGCAAGTACGGTGGAACGTTCGGTGCGATGTATAGCCATACAGACGGCCTCTAACAATAGTGCTGGGATGCTCGGTACGATGTACATCCCCTTGAGACAGTGTGTGGCGCGCTGCGTGGCGCTTCAACCCCATGTCATGCGTAGCTTCACATGGTACGATAGCGTGAGGGTTGGTGGCGAAAGCAGCCCCTTCCCTGAGATATTGGGAATCATTGGCCCGATTTTCTCCCGGAAAACCGATCGGTTCGTGGTGGCGTAGACACAGTTTCAATTGTATTCGAAATAGGGTCACAGGGGCAAGCAAGCACAATTTTTGAAGTGTTGTTGACAAGGCCAAAAGCAATCGTGCAGTTTTATTGCGTTCACGATGTCATGGGTCATGGTACTCTGATGTTGAAATCCCTACAAAAAGGGTAACACTTATTGAACATGCATATTTATCAAGAAAACACATGTCACGGGCCAAATGGCCAAAGCAACTGTTCCAATGAAGCATTCCAGCGACCACCTTTCATCAAGCCGCCATCAGCTCGCACCAAACAGACGTCCTACCGCGGCGTCAACACTTGCCACCGCCACCGGGCCACTGCTGCTGCTGCGCCCGCTCCCGCCGCTCCGCCAGCCACTCACCGGTGAAGCTGGAGATGTCGCGCAGGTGCCACTGGTGCTGCTCCACCCGCTCCCGCCGCTCCGCCAGCCACTCACCGGTGAAGCAGGAGATGTCGCGCAGATGCCACTGGTGCTGCTCCGCCCGATCCCGCCGCTCCGCCAGTCACTCACCGGTGAAGCTGGAGATGTCGCGCAGGTGCCACTGGTGCTGCTCCGCCCGATCCCGCCGCTCCGCCAGCCACTCACCGGTGAAGCTGGAGATGTCGCGCAGATGCCACTGGCTGTAGGCGCTGACGCCGACGGCCCGCGGCAGGCCCCCTATGTAGAGTGGGGCGCTGAGGCGCATGTACTGCTGCGGCCCGTCGTTCACGATGGAGCGGCGCTGGCCGCGGTCGACGCGCAGAGTCAGCCGCTTGTGGTCCAGCAGGAGCTCCACCACGTGCGGCCGGCCGTCGCCGATGATCTCGTAACTGGAACAGAGGGGGATGTCTGTCAGGTGGGTGGTGTCGGACGATAGGAGGATTGGGGCGTCGCCAGGCATTGGTCGATGAGCTCTCGGCCTTCCTCATCTGAACCTGTCGAATAAGGATTGAACAAGGCGAAGGCATGATCGCCCGAACCTGAACGTGTTGGAGGTCGGGCAGCATTGACTTCAGCAACCAAACCCACGATTATTCACCTGAACATGTGGGGCACTTCCGAAGGCGGCTAACCACCTCCTAACCCGCTCACCTGAACATGTTGGAGACGGGGTAGTTGCCGACGTCGTAGCTGATGCGCAGGCGGCCCTTGAAGAGCTCGACCGCCAGGTGCTGTGAGCGGCCGTAGTACAGCAACACCCCGCTCTGCGTCTCCGTCGCCACCACCAGCGTGATGTTGGTCTTCGGCAGCGTCTTCAGCGGCGCCAGCTCCAGGTACGAGTCATTGTGCGTGAAGCGCAGACTGCTCAGGCGCTCGCAGTGCTTGCCTGCGGCAGAACCGTGCGGTCGCGGTGTGGGTGCGAGGAGGGAGGGCCGTGTTGGGGTGACGGTCATAGGTGTGGGAGGATCGTACTAGGCTGTGTGAGCGATGGTCACGCCTTTACGGACTAACTGAGCACCCCTGGGCCAGGCACAACTTGTTAGGCAATCAGTCTTACTTTAACCTCAAGGTTTACATCTCTTATCGGCTAAGCTAGCCCGCCTTGCGGGAGAGCGGATAGGGGAGGTGGGCAGTCGGATCACATAAAGGTGAACAGGTCAGTGCAGGTGACAGTGACGGTGACAGCGGCCGCGCCTCCTCCATGCCTAGTTTCGTTGACTTGTGCAGAATGTTGCGATGCTGATAACTTCACCTCTCGACATGCGCTACCGCACATACCGTATCGAATAGCAATCTCGATACAATGCACCTCAGCTCCAACGAACCAAGCCCCGCCTGAAGCATGCCAACACCGACCCGGCCCAGAGTCAGCAGCTGCCACCAAGCCGCCGTACCAGAGTAGCCCGGGTAGCACTGGCAGACGTAGTCCTTGGAGTCGCGGGGCTGGAAGCAAACGCCGTGCTTGCAGTCATGCTGCTGGCAAGGCGACGTCTGGGGGTAGTTGAGCGCCACCATGGGGCCCGACTCGCAGAACTTGCCGGAGAAGTCGCCGGAGCACTTGCAGGAGTAGCCGTTGACGCCGTCCACGCAGGCGGCGCCGTTCTGTGCAGGTGAGGACAGAACAAATCCGTAGGAAATGAACAGGTCAGCGTCGCTGGTAGGAACTACACTGCATTAAAAACGCAAGGCAAGACAACGACTTCAACGGACCAAATGATCACTCGCATGTTCTTGTCCGTGCCTCATACATTGTTACGTCTTATGCATTCACGAAATCATATGCATCAGTTTTTTATTAACATTCCAAGCATGAGCTGCAGTGTGGCACCGAGATCTAACTTAAAGAGGAGGCATTTCACCTGGCACAGATGGTCGGTGCAGTCGTCGATGTTTTCGGTGCAATTGTGGCCTTCGAAGCCCACAGCGCAAGCGCAGGAATAGTGGGTGCCGTGATCGGTGCACGTGGCACCGTTCTTGCACGGGTTAAAGCTCTTGCTGCAAAACTTGATCTTCTTCTCACAGCGCTCGCCTGCCATGCAAGGGGACAGACATTCACCGAATGCATGACTGAGTAACTGGCGCAAGCAGTAAAAAGGGCGCAGTTCAGGAGTTAACAAACGAAATGACCAGTTAAGTTCATAGCCTTGCGTGTGCGACTCGAGAGAGTGCTTCAAACCACCAGGCAGGGTAATCAAATCATAGCTCTTGACAATGTGACGCGCATGGTAATTGGCTGGCGCATCTCCAGCAGCGGTGCTGCCACCTACCGCCGAATCCGGCCAGACACCGGCAGTGGTACTCGTTGATGCCGTCCTCGCAGGTGGCGTTGTTCACGCAGAGGTGGTCTCTGCAGTCGTCAATGTTTGTCTGACAGCGGTCTCCGCCGAAGCCAGCGCGGCAGTGGCACCTGCAGGTCCCAGAGATCAGTCAAGGACATCGGCGGGAGAACATAGGCGTAGGGGCCGGAAGATGCCTCTTGGCTGCATGCTTGCCACGCGACGTCGGCCATCACAGACCCGAGCTAAATGTTGTCAAAACTATCGGGACTGGCGTGCGTGTCTCACCGCGCGCTGGTGTCTCTCCCAGAAGTGGTGGTCTTAAGTTCGCCGAAGGATGGTGTTTTTCATTTATGATCCACATCAGACGCCATATTTAGTTTAGTTAGTTTACTAGTTAACCCCCGCCGAAGTAAAACGAGAGGAACTACAGCAATGCGACACCACGCTAAGCAGAAAGCCGTTGAAACGGCTTTTACTCGCTCCCAACACACCGATGCAGAATCGTTGACCCTCGATCAGGGTTCACTCACGTGAAACGCCCCTGCTGCACCACCTTGCACGTGCCACCGTTGTCGCATGGGTTGCCGTAGCACGCATCAATCTTGGACTGGCACTTCTCGCCGTAGAAGCCGGCCGCGCACGTGCACGTGTACTGCTGCTCAGCACGTGGTGTGCACGTGGCGCCGTTCTCGCACGGGTCCGTGTAGCAGACGTCGCACTTGGCCAAGATCTCACGTCGAATCGGACCTAGCGACAAGGTGCTGTTGTTGGGTCCCATACAGAAGCTCTGGCGCGGGCACTACGTGACGAGGATGCCAAAAGAGGCGCCAATAGCCATCAGAGCCACCTCTATAATCCACTTCTAAGTGAATGGGAGGCTATCGCCAGCCCTCAGCCACCACTGATTGGATCCAGAAACAGCGCACTGGGAGGAAATGGTCTTGTTGCGAGGCTTGGTTTATGGCGAGTTAATATCGGATACCGCAAGCTTCTTTAAACCACGATGGTGTGCTACTTTTCACCGGGGCCTGTTATGAGCCTTAAAGCTGAAATGGAGGGTTAACGAAACTGTTTCTTTGTTCTCAAAGTTCTTAATCGAAAGACTGGGTTCTTCTTCGGGGCTTTATTAAACTGTGTGATGACAATTTCGGCTCTGGAAACAGCCAGCCCCTCAGGCACCGTTGATTGCTGATCACAAGCTAAGGAAGCGTCGCTATGCTGCGCTATTTATGATCATCCTCCCATGACCCACGAAGCACGTGGGTGTGCCGGATGGGGTGTTTACTACATCTGGACCTAATTAATGGGAGCCTGGACACATCAGGAGCCCGTACATAAGGTCTTAATATATCTGACACTGTGAGCCTCCGACATGGGGAGTTGACACACTACGGCCATCTAACACACGCGAAACTCCGACACGCGGACCTGACGTAGGCTGACCGCGTGTACCAGACCTGACGGCCTGACACATGTGGGCCTGACAGACACACGGGTCTGACACATGTGGGCTCTAAAGACACACAGGTCTGACGCACGTGGGCTTGACACCCGTGAGCCTGACACACGCACCCGGACCTGGCACACGGCTTTGACACACGTGGACCTGACACCCGTGAGCCTGACACACACACCCGAACCCGGCACACGGCTTTGACACACGTGGGCTTGACACCCGTGAGCCTGACACACACACACCCGGAGCTGGCACACGGCTTTGACACACGTGGGCCTGATCCGGCCGTCGGCAGCCGTCTTATCGCCGGAGCCGACAGCGGCGGCCCCCCGGGAGTCGGCGCGCTCCGGTGACGGCGATGGGCCGCGACAGGAGCGCGAATCCGGAAGGCTGCCCCTCCCCCCCCCCCCCCCCCCCCCGTCGGCTCTGCTGGTATATCAGGATCGTCCGACCTCGGGCGGCGGGGATGCTCGGATCAATGGAACTGTAGCCAGGCACGGCCGAGGCTCAGATGTTGGGCACGTCGTGAGGCGTTTCGGATTGCAGTGGGGTCAGCTGCATTGCAATAGTGCATGTTTTGTGGCAAGCCATGGCCGGTAGCCAGTTGGCCGTGTCCCTGACAGGCCAAATGATGATGATGATTAGGGTTTAAGGGCGTGCCGACGGCTGCGGTCAATTTGCATCCAGATGAGCCAAGTAATTAAGGGCGGCTTCTGGGGGCGCGAACTCACATATTCTGCCATTCCACTGGTCATCTGCCCAGCTGTAGTCTGCTGTGGTCTATTGCAGTGTAGTATGGTCCACTGGTCACGTGGCCTTGTGAACGTGCATTGTCACTCAACACTTGATATGAACTTTAAGCTTGCCGTGACGTCAAATAGCCACCCTCTCCTCACCACATCAGTTGTGGCAGTTGAAGTTGTGGTAAAGACTTATCGCGGCAGGCGAACCCGTGGTAAGCACTCATCGTGGCAGCTGAACTCGCGGTGAGGACTCACTGTGACAGCTGGTCTTACGGTGAGGACTCACTGTGGCAGTTGAATATATGGTGAGGAGTCGCCGTGGCGGTTGAATTTGCGTGAGGACTCGCCGCGGCAGCTGAGCTTGCGGCGAGGACTCACCGTGACAGGTGAACCTATGGCGAGGACTCACCGTGGCATCTGAACTTGCGTGAGTACTCGCCGCGGCAGCTGGTCTTGCGGCGAGGACTCGCCGTGACAGGTGAACCTGTGGCGAGGACCCGCCGTGGCATCTGAACCTGCAGCGAGGACTCACCGTGGCAGTTAAACTTGTCGGAGGGTGTGGTGAGCACGAGCTTATCGCGCAGCTGGCGGGGCTCGGCGCAGCGCGCGATGCCCGGCTCCACGTAGTCGCCCTTGACCCAGTCGGAGAGCCAGCGCAGGCCGCAGTCGCAGTAGAGCGGGTTGGAGCCGAGCGCGATGTGCGTGATGCCGTGCAGGTCGGTGAACACGCCGTCCGGCAGCTGCGAGACGTCGTTGCCGTGGAGGCTAAGGATGCGCAGTGCCGAGAGGCCGGCCAGCGCCGACCGCTGCACGCACTGCAGCTTGTTGTAGCTGACGATGCTGCCGGCGAGGCGGGGCGATGTTGATGTTGGTCGTGGGAGTGTCGATAAGGGGTGTGGGGTGTGGGGAGGCCGGGGGGGACGAGGCCAGAGCTCTTAAAGTGATTGGTGAGCTTCTGTTGGAAGTTTGTTATTGGGGCCCCAGGGCTGCGTCGTCTCTTATGGCCACATTGCCAAACATATAATGCGTTAGCTTGGATCGTGCTGTGCATGCCCAAGCCTGCGGGACTTTAAGACGGGCCTTGAACGACGTGGAAGTGGTGATGCCAAAGATTGCACGGATGGGATAATGGTCAGATGCGATCGTAGCAGGCACTTTAGATACCTATATAAAGTTGATTCATCAGAGACCATGAAGCTTAAACTCACACCGCGAAGCGTGACCAGGTTACAACAGATCGCATCTTGGATACCGGCCTGCATTATACTTGATTGTAACACCTAGCAAGGCGGCGGAGGCGGCCATGAGAACGGGCGGTCCGTGGCGGGACCTTTCCCCATCAGAGCACAACCATTCAGCATCCGTCAACGAGTCAACTGCACTACGGGTGGTTCGTGACTGACGCTCCAGTGCGGCCGCCCTGTTACTCGCGCCGGACGCCTCTGCCGGTCTGAGGGGGTGACGCCCAGGTCAGGGAGAGGCCATTTCTCGTCAGCGAGCCACGTCAGGCCCCGGAATGAGCCACTTGGCTGGCGTTCGATGGCTCCCACAGCGCCCATCGCCGGCGATACCACAGACGGACGGCGCAGTTATGTATCAGCCGAGGCACCGGGACGGCCCCGTTACTCGACGTCAAGCGTGTGGCTACGTCGGTCGACTGCGAATGGGTGGCTTGCTGACCTTGCCAACCGAACAGCGAGAGACCCGCACGCAGACGCTTCGGCACGGCATGACCGAGCATGCTGACGCTCGATATCCTATGACCAGTCAAAACTCAACAGCCAGTCGCTGGACTCTTACACGCCGAGGTTATCTAAGAACGACACGGACCGACAAGCAGTCGGTGACTTATCCCAAGTCACGTCCCCTCCCTCCATTCGCCGCACTCACAGCGTGGAGAGCTTGCGCAGGTCGCTGAACGTGTTGTTACTGAGTACGGTGATCTGGTTGTTGCTCAGGTCCCTGTGGGGAGGAGGAGAGCCGCCTCGTCAGAGAGCCTCGTCAGAGCCGACCGACATCCGATGCCGACGCTCGTTACGGCGGGGCGGCGGCGCGGCGGCGGCGGATGTGGCGCTGCCCGCGCGACCTCGCGGGCAGCAACCAGCCCGCTGGGCCCTGCTGCTCGCTGCCACGCGCTCACGTGGCGTGAGTATGCTGCGCACCAGCAGCGCCCAGGCACGGCGGCTAGCTCAGCGGAGGGTGTTTGTCAGTAACGCGACATCGTTTTCGCTGCTTGTTCGTGGTTGATGTGAGATTCGCTTCGCTTCACAGCGTGGCTATCTGATGAGTGGTTATAGCCGGCGACACGATCTGACAGTCCCGTGAGGAATGTGAATGCTTTTTATCACAACGGCAGTTCACTCGACCAATCTCAATGCTAATCTGGTTGGCTATTTGTTGAGTTGTGGCGATTAAGTGCATTGAAGCCACGAGAAGGTTTTTAAACCTAACCAAGTCGGCTATCATGATGCTATTTCACGCGACGGCAATACGTCAGACCCATTTGATTAAGCCGTTCCTGATCGTAATTCTGGATGCAACCCGACTCTCTAACAAAGAGTAGCACCGCGGCAAAGGACGGAGCATAATCGGCAATGCAGCAAACGCGGTGGATTGGTCCACCAGAATGTGCCACGGCACGGTGGCAGTGTCGTGGACTGACAATAAGTCATGCTCTAATGCTGTCAGGCTTAACGACCGATGATCGGCCAACAAGCCCAGAAATCCATGCATCTAGAATAGCCATCAAATGGCCTCAGCCGGGCGGACAGCATGCCAGGTAGAAGCAGCTGAAATCATTACAAACGGGATACTGCTCACACATGACATGACTCGTGGCCAGATCAGCTTTCTCCGGCGATACACAGGCATGTGATGGCTGACATGTGTGATACTTTCAGATGGTTATGTTTTCAGAAGTAACTCTAGCATAACGGCGCCTAGCTGGGGCTTAGAGTCAGGTCGATTTACGGCGTGGGCCCAATGCACTGTTCACTGCACGTGACCGGACTTACCGCGGGTAAGATCACGAGGTGAGCTTGCAGGCTGGTCGGTTCACGAGGTGAACTTACAGACAGGTAAGATCACGAGGTGAGCTTGCAGGCTGGTCGGTTCACGAGGTGAACTTACAGACAGGTAAGTTCACGAGGTGGGACTTAGCCACGTCATTGGGTTGCTCAGTGACGGGGGGGGGACTTCCAGTAGATTCAATGCGTCAACCCACGGGGCGGGACTTCCAACCACATTAGTTCATGAGGACGCCACCTCGAGCCAGATCAAGAGGTGGGATGTACAGTCAGTTCAGTTCATCAGGTGTAATTCTGGTCCGGCCAGTGGGTCAGTTCATGAGGCGGGCCTTTTGGTCGGGTCAGTGAAGCAGTTATTGGGGTGAGACAAGTCGGGCCAGTGTTAGCGGTACAGTTGGGACTACAGTCGGGCCAGTGTTAGCGGTACAGTTGGGACTACAGTCGGGCCAGTGTTAGCGGTACAGCTGGGACTTCTAGTCGGGCCGGTGTGAGCGGTACAGCTGGGACTTATAGTCGGGCCAGTGTGGGCGGTACAGCTGGGACTTATAGTCGGGCCAGTGCAGGCGGTACAGTTGAGACTTTACTCAGGCCAGTGCAGGCGGTACAGTTGAGACCTACAGTCGGGCCAGTGCGGGCGGTACAGTAAGGACTTATAGTCGGGCCAGTGTTAGCGGTAAAGTTGGGACTTACAGTCGCGTCAGGTCGTGCAGATGCGACAGCCGGCTGGCGTTCACCGACCGCAGCTGGTTGACGTCCAGGTACCTGAAACAGTCGGTGACACATGGCTTCAGTGATCTGAACTGACAGAAACCCTCGATCGAGAGGCAGTAGAGGATCGAAATGGAGGGGCAAAGGCCTCCATCGAGAGATAGGAGAGATCGAAATGGAGGGCAAAGCCTTCGATCGAGAGGTAGGAGAGATTGAAATGGCGAACAAAATCTTCTACAGAGAGGCAAGATACATCGAAATGGAGAGCAAAGCCATCGGCGAAAAAGGGCGCGAATTGCCACCTTCTCCTGTCTGCAACACCTTTTAAAAATATCGTTAATAGTTAAGCAAGTAAGTTATGTCTCGTTTGTCAGTCCTGAAACGCATTTAAAATGGCACATGCCAATGGGCACATTCCCTCAAAGCACATGAATGCAAGGCCACACCTAAACCGCCAAAGGCAGGTTCGCTCCCCACGATCTATTTGCATTCCGTCCCGGCTTCGTTCCCATTTGGGCGGATCCATTCAGCTGTCGCGAATGATAAAACCATCTTTCAACGTCGAGGGGCGCGAGCGCTCCCCTCAGCAGACGACACAAGTCTCCCCTCGGTCCCACGGGGCGCAGCCTAGCCGTCGCCAAACGGCCCGACACCTTAAACGAAACGGGCTCAGAAAGCGACAGCGGACCCCCGGGCCCAGTTTTTGTTTGCCACTCGCCGAGTGCCGGCTCATTTATCGCCCGCCCCGCGCCAGAATGGAAACAAATCACCGAAGACGTCGCGCAAGACAATGCGATAATAACTCGTCGGAAGGGTAACAGTCTGGAGCCGCGCTTCTGACGCACCGCATTCCGCGCATAATTCCTGCGGCCGCGACCGCCATTGTTTTGTGGGGCGGCAGTGCGCCATTATCGCCCCGGGACGCAACGGGGCCGGCTGGCAGGCCGGTCCCCGTCTCATTACGCCCCGGCCACACGCTGGGTCGACTCGGGCACTCCGCTGTCAAGGGCCGACCGGTCGTCCGCATAAACCAGCCGACTGCAGACGTCGGTCGGGTGTTTACCGCCCGGGTCAGGAAGTCGCCGTCTCCTCCTCGATGTCCCCGTCGTGCGCGGAGAATTTAGGATCCGAGTTATGCGTGAAAATTTGGGGGAGCGCTTCGAAACAACGGGCAGCCGCCGGTCGTAATGTTGCCGTGTTTTCTGTGTCGTCTGCTGTCCCGCCACAACCGTTTGTCGGCGGAGAAAGCCTTCTCAGGGAGGTGGGCTAAATGTGTCTTGAGGACACCCAGCGGGTTTTTCCTGGTGTGGTTAGGAGAGCTGACAGATGTAAAGGTGACAATCGTGATGCCGGCTTAATCTGGTCTCAAGTCAGTCACCGAGCCGTGCGACTTATTCCCTCCACCCGCGCTCGCCGGCCTGGTCAGTCGTCAGCCTCGGCGCGCGCACTCACAGCTCGGTGGTGAGACTGGGAATGCCCTCGGGCACCTCGGTCAGCTTGGTGCGGCTGCAGCGCACCACGGTGCCGGTGCAGCTGCAGTTGGCCGGGCAGTAGCCGGACCGCAGGCAGCCGGCGCTGTTGTCGCCTGAGGGGGCGACTTGGGTCAGCGAGTCTGTCGTCTGACGGACGGACGGTCGGCAACGCTGGCTGTGTGGAGGAGCAGGTCAGGTCAGACAGAACTGAATACGGCGCCGCCGATGGATCGCCAGGATGAGTGGTGGTAGGTGTTACTTGGGTGACGAAGTTGGGTATGCGGCGTTGTTGATAACATATCGGGTTATGACAGGTCAGTTCGATCACTGATGTTCCCTGGGCTGCGAAGAGTTAGCTTGAATAGCAAGCTTAACGTTCAGATGAAATGCACTAACAAGTTGCAAAGCTCAAGATAAGCTGTTAAAACACAGGCAACAGACACTTCACTTCACTGTCCTCGAGTTTGGATAGATTTCATTGATTTTATAAGCGAAAAAAAATCGCATGATTTGTTGATTGCCCGACATTTGTGGAACTATGCTTCGAAGAGCCCGCCTTCCGCCAGAACAGCTAGGTCAGGCCTGCACGTGCGCGCTTCAGCAGCGCGCGAGCCGGTATTACCGACTTTATCAGGAAACGGACATCAGGCGTAATCCTGTCACGCAAGCCACGAGTTTCCTGTTCGCAAGTGATGTACAGATCCGCAAAACCCGCACCTTCGCGGCAGGTGCCCGTACCCCGCAACACGCCCGCAACTCGCACTATGCACTGAATGCCTTCTGCGAATCACTACCACCGCTGAAATAACACATGCTTTCAATAGCCTTCCGTGAGCAAAAGCGATATATGTGCGGGTCTGATGAAACGGTCGCACTTGTATCTCTTTCCATCGGTGACCTGCGCGCTACGGTCGCGTCTTTTACCTTGGAGCTGTGGCTACTTAGTCGAACAGGTAAAATCGTGCACGGAGTCGAGGCTACTCACTCGTGCAGGTGAATTCGTGCACAGAGATCTCGTCGATGGGCGTGTCTTGCAGCCGGGAGGGGCGGTGACAGCGTGGGCTGCCCATGCTGCCGTCAGTTGACCTCAGCCAATCAGAGAACCACGCCAGGTGGCAGTTGCAGTTGAACGGATTCGACATTAGATTGCTGTAAAATAGGATCCTTTGTCTGGCTGCAGGTTTGCTGAATCATCTGACCAGCAATTGCATCTACTCGGCTATGTTTTCGACGTTGTGCTACGTGCAAATGCGTCGGGTCTTCAGGGCACTTCTTTTATGCAGATGCTCAACAGAATAGAGAGATGTATGAGCGATCCAAAGGCTATGACAGCAACAAATTTGCTTACGCAATACGAGCACACCGGCATTCAAGATAAATAATTCATGTAATCTCCCACCGTTCCGTTGCACTTCTTAGAGTTGTCTATGTATAACCCACAATGCAATTCGCACGCTTCGTGTCGCATTCATCTGAATCCACAAACGGCGAGACTGTGAACAAACCAACCACTCATCACTCACAGCGTCTTCAGATTCTTCAGATCGGAGAAGCTGCCTGGCATGACGCATGTGATCTTGTTGTTGTACAGCGAGAGCGAGGTCAGCGAGCGGAGGCCGCGGAACATGCCGTCGTGGACGTGCTGGATGTCGTTGTTGGTCAGAATACTGCAAGAAGGCGCGCTCTGTCATCATCTGGCGTCGGCGCGCTGAGCTCTGACTGGCCCCCACCGGCGGTTCAGAGGCTCCGGCTCTGACTGGCGGATCAGAGCCTCGGGCTCTGACTGACCCCGCCGGCGGATCAGAGGCTCGTGCCCTGACTGACCCCCGCTGGTGGATGAGAGGCTCGTGCTCTGACTAACCCCCCCCCCCCCCCCCCCCCCCCGGTGGTTCAGAGACTCGGGTTCTGGCCGGCGGATCAGAGCCTCATGCTCTGACTAGCCTTAACCGGCGGTTCAGAGACTCGGGCTCTGATTGGTTCCCGCCGGCGGATCAGAGGCTCGAGGGCACACGGCGCACGCAGGCCGCTATGTGCTCGGCCAACAGGAGGCGGCCCCGCTGCGCCCGCGTCCCGTGTACAGTGTACACGGGCCGCTCTGCACTCGCGCGGCCCAAAAAGGCAAGTGCGTCCGATACAGAGGCTGCTGCGCCGCGCAGGGCAGACAGCGTCCGTCACAGAAGCTGCTGCGCCGCGCAGGGCGAACAGCGTCCGTCACAGAAGCTGCTGCGCCGCGCAGGGCGAACAGCGTCCGATACAGAAGCTGCTGCGCCGCGCAGGGCGAACAGCGTCCGATACAGAAGCTGCTGCGCCGCGCAGGGCACATAGCGTCCGTCACAGAAGCTGCTGCGCCGCGCAGGGCAGACAGCGACATGCGCTGCATTCGCGGCCCCGGGCACAGGCAGTCGGTCGCGAATCGAAGTCCGCTGTCAGCGTCGTGAAGTGGAACTCAAACTCAGTTATAAATCGTGCTGTGTAGGCGTGGCGCTCAGAAACTGCTTGTTTCCTCATCGTTGCATTTTTCAATCAATTATGAAAGGCACGATCTAATGAAATAAAGTATACCCAAGCGTCCGTGTGCTCACGCGAAACGATTTGTACATGGTGAAAGCTGTCACTTCATTTGAGGAAACTGGCTCCAGGTGAAACGGAACGACACCAGCCCTATGAGTTCAGAGTTCTTATGCTGAGTTATCGACCTTCACTATGCCAGGACGTACCTGCTGGTGAAACGACGTTACAGGGCACCCATTGGCTAAATTGACGGTACTCAACGTGCCAAGCCGTATCTGTGGCAACGAGATCGAGTCGGGGTGATAAGCATGGCCTGAAATCTACTGCCAGTAAAGCCAACGTTTGGGCTATAACGCTATTTAACCGGTACCTCCTGAGGGTTGGTGACACAGTTTAAGATCTCTGAACTCATAATGCCAAAACACTAGGAGCGGAGGGCCCTCTTTGCTATCCGACAGCAGCTCTGACTAGGATCGCACGGCACGGGACACAGGATCGCAGGCCACGGACCACAGGAGCACAAACCGCAGACCACGCACCACAGGTGCACGGACCGTAGACCACGGGCCACAGACGCACGGGACGGCAGACCACGGACCACAGGAGCACGGACCGCAGATCACGGACCACAGGAGCACGGACCATGAACCACGCACCCCAGGAGCACGGGACCGCAGGTCGAGGACCACAGGAGAACGGACCGCATACCACGGCCCACAGGAGAACGGGACCGCAGGCCAAGGACCACAGGGGCACGGACCGCAGACCACGGACCACAGGAACACGGACCGCAGACCACGGACTACAGGAGCGCAGACCGCAGACGGAAGGTCACGGAAGCAGACACCACACGGACCCTGGACGGCAGTGAGCACGCCCGCGGGATCGAGACCAGTGGGGCCAGGGCCGTGTACCACACCCACAGCCGCCTGCATGGCGTCAGGTCACAAGGCGAATGACCGCGACTAGACGACCTTGGAACACACATGACGAAACCGAACGCCGCAGGGCCCATCTACAGACGAAACTGAACATACTGATAAGGCTTAAAGCGATGTTCAAAGGCACTAGTCTGTCAGCTCGGGGATGGGAAGAACGAAATATTTGAAACCGTTGACTAACAGGCAACGAGTTCCAAACACTGCATTTTAGATCATGGCATAACATAGGATCATTTGACAAATGACAGGGTATGGCAAAAGCTGCAGCCAAGGGCGAATCTAGAGCGCCATCTTGGGGTTGGGGGTGGATTTAAAAAGATGCTTCAATTTTTAAAACGCATCAGATTTTACTTCTTTTTTCCTTGAAAAATTGTTCCAATGCTTGACGTCGAAGTACGGAATGGGCCATTGTCCCCGAAAACTGCTGAGGGGAGAGCAAGGCCCAGTTGGGACCGGACCTTGGGGACGTGACCCTTTTTCTTGGTTTCCCCCGGTCCTTCATCGATCTGTCCCTGGCTGCAATCACACCAAACATCGTAACAAAATGACTACAAATAAAGCGCTCACACAAAGCACGCAGGACACAGCAGCAGGGTACGCTGAGCTTCCATTTTACAAAACCGACCGGGAAAAGAGTGGTGTATCCGAACTGGCCCGCTGGCGGTGACCCAGCAACCGCTCCCCAAAAAGCTCACGGGCTTTAAGCCGCCGCTAAACCCGCCACCGCCAGCGAGCGTATTTCAAATATCCCATTTGGGCGACTCGATCTCAGGCGGCGACCGGTTTCGACTCGGCCGGTCGTGTCGATATCAGCTGGCGGCCCGACGAGCGGCGCGCCTCGCTGCAGTCCGACCGCCAATTTCTGCTAGCGACGCGCCGCCGCCGCCACCACTCACATCTCCTGCAGCCGCCCGGCGCCGCCGAAGGCGTCGTCGTCGATCTCGACGATGCTGTTGTCGCTGAGGTCGAGCTTCCGCAGCTTCAGCAGGCGCGGGAACAGGCGCGCCGGCACCCGCGTGATGGCGTTGTTGCGGAGGATCCTACCGGAGGGAGGGGTGGTGAGAGGGTGTCGGCGGTGCCGGCGCTGGGTACGTGTTTGGTTTCTAAGCCGCTCATGCGGTCTGAAGTGGGGCGGAGTGCCCCGACCCTCAACATGCTGCTGAGATTAGCATGTGTAACGTGGCAGGCCCGATGACTTGTAATTCAGCGCACGGTACGTTGGTCATTGGTCGAGCACGGCTTGTGGTCCAACGTGGTCCGCGTGCTCGCGCCTTGCAATGTTGTGTGAAGTCGGTATCCGAGCGAGTTCTGTGGCTCGGTGACCCACGGCTGTTGGCCACAGGAGGCCTTTGACTTTGGCTTTATATAATTTTAGGCGTTTCGGCCTGTTCCGATCATTACACTCCACGACAGCGAGCCGGAGCCGGAAACGAAAACGAACGCCGAGACCAATCGCCACCCCGATACAAAAAGCAAGTCCGACCGAAACGGGACCGTGCAGCGCCGACTGAGGTCAGCCCTAGGGGAAGGGGAGGGGGCGTCTGAAGGCCGGGACCGGTCCGGCACAATGGCGGCGCCCGCCGGCTGCCACCGTGACGGGATCTGTCGCGGCCGGCCGCCGGCCGTCAGCGCGCACAATGGCGGCAGAGCGGCCCGCTGCGCGGCGCGGGACAGGCCGCGTCGGCCGGCGCCGCGCCGCCGCCGGTCCGGCGGGCGGCTCGGCGGCTGCGGCTCAGCGGTCGCCAAATCACGCTACAATGGGAGGCGGCCGGCAAACGCGGAAACGGGGCGGACTGTCGGCACGCGGCGTAATCCCGGATCAGCGGGCCGCGCGGACGGCCGGGCCCCGCGCGGAAGCGGCTGTCCGCATGCGATCACGTCCGCCCCAGATTGCGAGCAATTGTTTTCGGCGGCGGAGCCGGCGGCGCGCGCGCGTATGCAGCTGCATACAAACTGTGACGAGGGTCTCACGGTGAGAGTGGTGAAGCAGAACCGGGCTGGCGGCTCACACCGCCGCCCATCGCAGCTTAGGGTCTGCGGTGCCGTCTGGACTTCCGTTCGAGGGACGTCGCGAGGAAGTGGAGGCGGTTTATTTGGCAGTCGGAATAGGTTTGCACCACAACTCGGTGGTGACGGGCGGCACGCTTTAAAGCTTGGAGGCCTCAGTGGAAGACTAAGCCAGGACAGATCTTGTGTTCGAAACGCTCCTGGCGTCGAGTTCTCATGCAGAACGTTCTTGTTGAGTTTTACACGCTTTACATTCTTCAATGGGCGTTCTTTGTCGAGTTTTGCAAACACAGTTCAAAACATGAAAGTTGCAGAAAGGAGACGGCAATTTAAACACATCGTGCTCTATACAGGGAATTTGGGTCCCGTATGTTTGCGCCAGCTGAAATGCACCCAAGGGGGCCGAGCGGACCCGACCCAACCAAGTGTCGACCTTTCGTGCATAGTTGTGAAGAAACACAGAGACGCGCTCAGTCAGGGCCACATCATGGTCATATGGTTTGGACAAAAGACATGGTCACATCCAGCATGTGTCCGAAAACGGACCGGCTGCCCACAAGAGTCTTCTTTATGTTATTATTGCACCGGTGAATACCTGCAATAAACTGCGCAGCCGTGTGGTTGTTTAAGCGTGGCACTTTTGTAAAACGGAGCATCGTACGACGCCATTGGAAACTTGCTGTCATGAATCTACTTAGTCTAACCATGCATCACCAGCAGCAGGTGATGGCCGCATAGCCACAAATCACTCCTAGAGCCTCCGTATGATGTAAACGGGGCTAACGCAACACTTGTGAAGAGTGAGAAATCATACCTACAAGCCAGAGTATGTGGGAGTTCCGTAACAAGCACTGGGACGTCTGCGACATTTCAGCCAGCATTATACTCACAGCTCGGTGGTGGCGCGCGACAGTGTCCGGTATGGCCGTCAGTCTGCAACAGTTCAGTGCCGCGCACTTACAGTTCGGTGGTGGCGCGCGGCAGAGTGTCCGGTATGGCCGTCAGTCTGCGACCGCTGCAGTCCACCATGGTGCCGGTGCAGCGGCAGGAGGCGGGACACTCGGTCTCTGCCAGGCACTGGTCCGCACGAGACTGGCGGGGTCCCGTTGCACCTGCCGCGAGTATTACACAAGTCAGCCGAAAGTCTGGGCACACCCGGCAGAAGTGATATATGAAGAGAAGTGATAGGTGATCCACTGCGCTTATGGCAGCGCGCATCCCACTTCTGGTTGCTGATGCAGTCACACATGCCCATTCGGAATGCATGATTTTTCAAGTCGGGGAAGAGGCTACCCGATTTTATGTCAACCGCCGGTGTGAAGCTCCGACATCGTAAAGGAGCACCGCGCAAATCCGGGTCACCGGGAGCCGCGCAGCAATGGGGTTGGGCCACACAGCGTGCGCCAGTGTCCAGGGCGCTGCTGATATGTGGAAGTGCCTTAATGTGTATCAATTATCCGCCCCCGGGGAGCGGCTATCGGCCGTCATCGGGCCACCGCCTCATGCAGTATTCCCGCCGCGACCGGGGCTGGCCGCGAGAGAAAGCCGCCGCGCCGCCCTGCCGCGGGAGGCGGCGCCGGCCGTGGAGGGCGCCAGATATGCATCTGCAGCGCTCGGGCCGGAAGCTTTTTGCCGCGCCCGTGAGAGCATCGCACCATTAGGAGACGGGCTGAGGTGATTCGGCCGGACGCGTGAACACTGCCTTCACGGTCCGGGTTACCCGAGTCATTTGGCTTTCGAGCGGGCGATGCGACGAATGGCCATGCGTTTCGAAAAAGTTGTTTGTTCAGCCGTGCGGGGAGGTTCTTGTGTTTTCTCCACAGCGTGGACGATTGAAATGAGGGGCTGGGTCCGAATATTGACCAGAGTGACGGTCATGGCATAGTAATTTCGTGATCAGGCGGGTGGCCGAGCGGTTGGCGCCTTGGGACTCCCATGTGGGCTTGGGTTCGAATCCCGGTTGCGCCATGGGTCCTGAGCGCTGATATGATCAATGCAGTCGCTGTAGTTCAATAAAAGTAGCGTAACGACGTACGTTACGTTCCCTTTTAAAAAGAAAGAGATGTGAAGGGCGGAGAAGATGTGATGGACGGCACTTCGGGCAGTGGATACGGAGTGGAAGGCGGATGGGATGTAAAGTTCCTCGTCTCGTGGGGAACGGTAACGGCGGGAGGAATGTACGCGATATGAGGAGCGGACACATTCTGGTAGGCAGCGGCAATCTAAGCAGACCCCATGTGAAAAGCGAGCACAATATGAAGACAGCCCACGATCAAAAGAACCGACGCAGCATGACGAGCGGCGCAAATCAGTCAGCGCGAGCCGCGCACAGCTGCTGACCCAACCTAAGCCACCGCTGTGCTCCCTGACGGCCGGCTCCCAAACCCCGCGCGTGTCGCGCAAACAAAGTCATAATCGGCGGCTCTGTGCTGGGCGGCGGCCGTTTACGGCCCGGCCGCGCCACCCCGGGGGCCTTGGCCGCTTTATTTGAAAATTCGGTAAACGTGCCCGGATGAAAGGCGCCTCGCGGTGACGACAAAGGACGCGCGGTTTTTGTGCTCGCGCGCCCCTCCGGTGTTGACTGCGGGTACACCGCGCCGAGGCCGGCGGCGACCGAGCAGCGGCACCGCGCGGCAGGACGAGGCGGCTCCGCGCGGAGCACTGAAGGACAGGACACTGCTGAGCAGGGCGAGGCGGCTCCGCAAGGAGCACTGAAGGACAGGACACTGCTGAGCAGGGCGAGGCGGCTCCGCGCGGAGCACTGAAGGACAGGACACTGCTGAGCAGGGCGAGGCGGCTCCGCGCGGAGCACTGAAGGACAGGACACTGCTGGGTAGGGCGAGGCGGCTCCGCGAGGAGCATTGAAGGACAGGATACTGCTGAGCAGGGCGAGGCGGCTCCGCGCGGAGCACTGAAGGACAGGACACTGCTGAGCAGGGCGAGGCGGCTCCGCGCGGAGCACTGAAGGACAGGACACCGCGGAGCAGGGCGACACGGCTCCGCGAGGGGCACTGAAGGACAGGACACTGCTGAGCAGGGCGAGGCCCGCGCTGACTGGGAAGTCAGGGAAGGTCCAGGTCAGTGGATCGGGCGTGTGTGGAGCGGGGGGGATCGGAGTCCGGCAGCACAGGCAGCAGGTTCCTGTCGGTTGAAGCTCGCTGTGATGCGAGGGGTGAAAAAGAGAAGGCGATTCCCAATCAATCAGTCATCACACGTGGTCAGCTGGAAATGTCAGATCGAGTCTAAGACATCAATTGGGTGCTTGTCTTTTCCTGGACCAGGTTTTACGGCGGCTTTTAAATGGTTTATGGGTGTTTATGACGCGTCGTCAACTGCCCGATGACGGCTGTCACATTACGTCTTTTACGTCGCACTCTGAACCGCGCAGGAAATGCCGATATAGATCGCGAAACGTCACATTTAGACGCCACCAATTCATCATGGTCCGACAAATACATCTGACATCCCAAGTCTAGCGATCAAAATGGGTCGATAAGTCTTGGTTAAAGTGGCGAAATAATTCATGTTGTAGATGTGTTAGTAAGAGGCACACGAACACGGGGCGTTTATCAGTCTGACATGAAACAGCCATCAGACTCAGAGTTTTTGGTCGCCAGACAGGGTGAAGGATGGCAAAATTAACTCGATCATTTGTCAATACTCCGCAGAGGGATGAGCCATTGGTATTGAAACAGGAAAAGCGCAGCAAGAGGTCGAAGTATCTGGCTTTCAATAGACTTTGGAATGTGTTTGGGCTCAGGCTGTTTAAAACGTCCCAATCAACCAGGCGAGCACTTGTCTGGCGGTTGCCCGTTTGTGCTAGAAAGACGCGTGTGGGTGCTAGGACAGCAGATCACAGCAGGCTGCTAGAAATGCACATATATTTATGTATATACTATTATGCACATAATCCTGCATATATTATTATGTATATATATATATATATAATGTATATAAATACGTATAAATAGGTGCTAAGACAGTGGGTGACAGCAGGCTGCTACTAAGACGCGTATGGGTGCTAAAACAGCAGGTGACAGCAGGCTGCTAGAAAGACACTAGGTGCTAGGACAGCAGGCGACAGCAGCCTGCTAGAAAGACCGTGTGACCGACTGGTTGTGACCGAGGACTGGTCCCTGCTTGACAGTGGTGGTATGATGGTACAGCTATATAATGATTCTTCAATTATGATGCATCCAGACATGTCAACAAACATAAAAACCAACAGCCACCACCATATATAAACATCGCTATGCAAATGGGCGTGATAATGCTTAAGTATTACCAGGAAAGAACCATCAATATGTCCACGTCATATCATCTGCATTTTATTGCTTCATTATGGAGCGCAACGCCTCACAGTCAGGAGTATGCAACGTTTGCCTGCAATGAATGTGATGTCGGTGCATCTAAAAGCGAGTGGCCGGGCTTGTATGTTGGGAACGCTTAAGGTTTGGGAGCCAGCCAAATACGGAGCGACTTCTGTTGCAGCAAATGTGACGATGAATTCATGTCATCAGATAGTGCAATGTCAGCAACAGCTGTGAGGCGTTGCGTACACACGTCAGCACACTGAATTAATGCTAAAGCAGGCCTCGAGGTAGAATGAACACCTGCCAGCATCGGCCCGAAGCGCTGGCTCAAAATGGGTAGCCCTTCTGGCAGTCGATAAATAGGGATTTGCTCTGAAATTTAAACGATCCCATACATGCAGTCAAAAGTGACATAAATGACGCTGCATAAATGAAATCGAAGCTGACGAAATCCCTGTAACGTGTCAAGCATTCCATAAACGCCCATACGCTAAGAATAGTGCGGGCGAGGCCATCTCGTATGGAAAGTCCCTAATCCAGTCGACCCATTACGGTGGTGCCAAACTTCCAACAGCAGCGTACATCCGAAAGACACCGACTCTGGGTGGTGGATGCCCACGATGGCCCAACTCCGCCACATTCGGCACCCAACACACATCGCCCTAGCCCGTCCGGCTCCGTCGGCAGGGGCCCTCAAGCTGCCGCGCGTCCGCCGACAGCGGCTCTCAAACTGTCCGCGCGGGCCGCCGGCTGCGGTACTCACACTGGAGCTGGCGCTGGTGCTGCAGCAGGGCGCTCAGCTTACGCCTCTGCAGAGCGGGCGGCTCCTCGCAGCGGGCGCCGCTCGTCTCGATCGGTCGCACGTCCAGGTACTGCGACAGCCACTGCAGCTCGCAGTCGCATATAAACGGGTTTCGCCCCAGGTGGCTGCCGGCGACGAGCGTGAGCAGCGTGAGCTGGCTGCGGACGGCGGCCGACACGGCGGCGTGGGTCGAAGCCTACCTGGCCCGTGTCGGAGTTGTTTGAACTCTCGTAGCAGAGCGCACGGGCTACGCGGCGTTTCGTAACACTGAGCCAGCAGCTAAATGTAATTCATTTCCATGCGTGGGAAGGGAAGCCCTGCAAGAGCAGCTGATAATATGCTCGCTGCCCATTGAACTCGCCGCGAAGCCGTGTGTCCGAAAACGCTGCGCCAGCTCGCCTGGCTTCTGACTCACGTACGAGCTGGCTCAGCTGCGGACGGTTGGGCTTTCCGGGCTAAATCTGACCACTCGTCGCGTCTCCACGACCACTAATTAAACCGGGTCGTCCCCAAAGCTGGCGCGGGGTCGCCATTCACGTCAGATTGGATGGCATTCAAACGCCCCGCGGCATTCGAACACGCCGCGCAGCGCTCAAATACGCCGCGCAGTCTGCAAACTTCCGGAGCGGCAGCCCACGGACGCCGGTCGTTCACAGAAGTCGGCAAAAAGCCAATGCCGGCAGTCGGAACGGCCTCGAGGGGGGCTCATTAGAAGCGCTGCGCTGCATTGCTGCAAATTGGTATGAATCGATGGAGGTAATGAGCAGAACGTCGATAAACTTCAGTGGTTGATATGATACAAAGACCGATATGACTAACAACGCTAGCGATAGCTGCGACAAAAATTTGTCGGCATTCTTCCTTAAGAAAGATCGGGTTTCATCCCTGTCAGATGAGACTTGACCATAACGCGGGAGTGCAGACGGACATTTGAGATTTTATCATGATTAGGAAGAAAAAGGACGACTTACAGCGTTTGGACGTTTCCCAGTGGTGCAAATGTTCCGTTAGTTAATGTCTGAATGTTGTTGTCGAACAGCGACCTGAAATATTAAAATATATCTGTAAAGCACAGCAAGTTTTCATCGCTACTCCTTTGAAAACATTGCAAAATCGTCGTTGAGATGACCTATTTTAAACCTCAATCATTACTTATCTCGACCATAGACCAGACGTGCGTTAAAATAGCGTCACTGGAAGGTAAAACATACGACAGAAGTGATATCTGGTTGAATATTGAGCTCAATCATTACTTAGCTCAACCATAGATCATACGTGCGATAAAATAGCGTCACTGAAAGGTAAAACATACGACAGAAGTGATTTCTGGTTGAATATTGAGGTAAGGTAAGTACTCACAGCAACGTCAAGCTGTTTAAATCACGGAAGGCGTCCTTCTGAATGCAGGATATCTTGTTTGCGTTCAGCAGCCTGAAACCATTGCATTATTTCGGCGGTTAGCTTTGCCGCTCCAGGCTGAGCCTGCGTGACCTTCCACTTGTCAGCGCGGCTAATCTTGCAGCAATTCACCAGGTTGCAAGCTTCAGTTAATTAGATTAAGGATGACGCTAAGCTCCCGTTGGCGACAGCATCTGGGGCTTCACAGGCCAGCCGACTCAAAGCTGCGAAGTGGCTGACGACGTGTTTGTGTCCTGATCAAAACAGCATATCAAGAACTTGATACGCACTCCGCTGGTTAGGGCTCCCCGCCGTACAGAGCCAGAACACTGACGTAAAAAGCCGGCACTCCTCTGGACGTTGACCGATTCCAATTAATTACCCGGCGTCGGTGGCCGACTTGATGAGCCGGAATGAGCCCGGAGTCCAGACTCGGTCCGGACGCTGCATCCATCAGCAGAGGCCGATAAACACAGCGACAACCAGGCCCACAATAGCGCGGCCCATTAAAAGCAGCCCGCCGCCGGCACAATTTTCCGGAACGCTAATTTAATTTCTCGGCTCGGAGGACGTATCGCCACTGCGATCTTGAGTTATTCGGCGGCGGGGCGTAGTCAGGGGCTGATCCACGGCCAGATACGGCACGACAAATCGTCGATACACGCGGCAGCGGTCGGCGGCGGCGGCGGACCGCTCGCGCCGCCGCCGCCGCCAGGCGCTCCGTCGGTCGACTGCGCCGCTCGGCCGTCCGCTCCGCGGGCCGTCCTACCCTCCAGACGGCGGGTGGGATGCCCCCTCGCGTTCGCCAGTGCCCTGCACGGTTCCGACGGCCCACGGCTACTGCGGTCAGCTCTGCCACGGCTGCGCCGCCGCCTGCCGTCAAATTGGCTATCACCGGCGCACTGGGTGGGACAATTATCTAATTAGTATTCGGCGGCGCTCCTACACGGGAGCAGGTATTTAAATTACTCCGCGCGGAGATCATAAAACGCCGGGTGAAGCGGACGCGGTCGTAAAGGCGGCGCAAACGCAAATGGGGCCGTTTACGGGCCCGGGTGTCGCCGCTGGTCGGACCGGACGGCCTGCGACACTTACAGCAGCTGGAGCGAGACGAGCCCGTGGAAGATGCCGTTGGGCAGGCTGGTGATGCCGTTGCCGTAGATGACGCTGGAACAGGGAGGGCCGTGTAGGTGAAGAGCGAGTGAAGGATGTGAACAGGACGCGCCGCTATGCTCAGATCGGCTGCCACGACTGATTAAGTATGAAAATGCTCAGCGGAGGCCAGCTATGCATATGCAGCTATGTCTACGCCAGTTTCTCCCTGGTCTGCCCTTTTACGTGTTTTGAGAGGCGCCAAGCTTTTGATTTCTATAAATGCCTCAGTTTCAGTGTTCCAATTCCTGAAATAGCTACATTATAGAATATGATACATATATGCATATTAACGTTTGATATATATATATATATATATATATATATATATATATAATATATATATATATATATATATATATATGTGTGTGTGTATATATATATATATATATATATATATATCTATATATATCTATATTGTTTACCAAAAGTGAGGAAGCTCTTGGACCACGCCACAGCAAATGTTTCTCCTGCAAAGCGGCTTGATGAATTACCTGACCGCAAGAAGCCAATAGGCACCAAAGGGTGTGAGCGCCGTCTTTGTTTTCAGCATGCTGTAAGGGCGGTTTTTGGAGAGCCTAGACATGCTCGTCGCAACAGCAACTCCGTGTCCGTTGCTTAAGTATAGAGGAACGCTGGTTAACGGTCCAGATGCGGTCGCTTGATAAGCTGCTTATCCACGTCATGTCCAGACTGTGTGCCATGTAAGGTCACGGCATGCAAGGTAAGCAGGCTTACATGACATGCTTGCCTTTTTGTTCTTGGAAATACAGAACTAGTGGGGCAAAGTGCGTCATGAGGGACCCAAAATTAAAAGGCGCTTGCTCGCACCATTTAATGGTGACCGATAGCTGTCAGGGTTAATCGGCATGTAGCCTGAAAAGGATGTAAGACGATTGGGCGTACCAAGAAAGTGTTTCTATTCTATTTTTCCTATAAGACAAAGGTTTGTTTTTAAAAATCAGCTCTACATCGCTGAGAAGTCATAGATGTTGAACAACAAAGATAACATTTAAATACAATTTCACGCAGAGAGCTTGGACATTCCATTTTTACGTTATTAAAGGCCGTCTGCAGCTCGCCGGCGTCGTCTTTCGGTTCGCTTTAGCTCGGACGGGTCGAGCGATTTCCCGTGAAATGTGTCCGGACAGCTCCGGTTGAGGCCGGGCCCGCGACGGAGACAAATACTCCCATTTGCCCTGGCGTCGAGGCGCCGCCAACTACCGCCGTTACTGAGAACGGACTGTCCTCGGCCAGTTCACGCCAAATGGGTCATCCGGGCAAACCCGGCGGCCCGTCTCCGGCGGCGGAGGCGGAGGCGGAGGCCTCTGCCACCCCGGCCAGGTCGAGGCCTCTGTCACCCCGGCCGGGGCGAGGTCTCTGCCCCCCCCCCCGGCCGGGTCGAGGCCTTTGTCACCCCCCGGCGGACGAGGCCTCTGTCACCCCGGCCGGGTCGAGGCCTCTGTCACCCCGGCCGGGTCGAGGCCTCTGCCCCCCCGGCCGGGTCGAGGCCTCTGTCACCCCGGCCGGGTCGAGGCCTCTGCCCCCCCGGCCGGGTCGAGGCCTCTGTCACCCCGGCCGGGTCGAGGCCTTTGTCACCCCGGCCGGGTCGAGGCCTCTGTCACCCCGGCCGGGTCGAGGCCTCTGTCACCCCGGCCGGGTCGAGGCCTCTGTCACCCGGCCGGTCGAGGCCTCTGCCCCCCCCCCGGCTGGGTCGAGGCCTCTGCCCCCCCCCGGCCGGGTCGAGGCCTTTGTCACCCCGGCCGGGGCGAGAGTTTGCAGCCCGCCGATCGCGACAAGTTCCAGTATACGGGCTCGAGGCAGGGCTGACATCAAGTTCAGGGCCCGGGAACGGGTCCCATGGGCCCCTGTGTGCCGTCACAGGCGCAGTGGGCGCATGGGGGATTCCCACGAGGCTCAGAGCCATGTCGTCAGAATTGGAAGTTTCCAGACGGTTAGTACAACTAATGTGATTAGATTCAGGAAGTGATTTCACTCGGAGTTCTCCACAATGGCCATTTACTAGAGCAGTGCTCCTCAACTGCCGGTACGCGAACATCACAGGCCATTTTTTGCTCATCTTACCGTATTGGCAAACATATGTTGGTAAGATCGCATACAAGGCATTGACATAATGACTTAATGGCATGCTTTATCAGCGTAACTATGGTTCCTCGGGAAAGAGGAGATAGATGGAGAGAGTGACGGAGATAAAAAAGAGAAAAAGAAAAAACGTTATTAAGGTTATGACATTATTTTCACGAACTTACAGTGAGTTGAGCTCGGTCAAGTCCTGGAACGCATCCGCCGCAATCTTCACAATCTGATTGTGGCTGAGGTCTCTGCGAAGCAGACAGAGTTCGCTGCTCAGGTAGCCACAGTCCATGGAAACTGGTTACGACCATCCCGCCAACGTCACCACAGCGGCGCCAGACACAGCGAGTGGCCATTGACAGTGCGGCCGCCCGGCGCGCGGCTCCGCTACTCCTCACGCGAGACGGCCGGCACGTGACAGGAGGACCGATCAGCCGCGAGGGCCTCTGAGCGACGGGAGGCGGTGGACGCACGGGCCGCGATCGCTGCCCGAACCGCGATGGCCGATGGCCCGATAGCCGGCCACCACTTGTTGCGGTGTTGTAATCCGGCCGTCTGCAAAACGGCATCGATACGATCGCGTCGTGTAAATAGCGCGCGGGCTGCGTTGACTGCGGCGCGGGCTGCTCACATGCGCTTGATGCGGCGGTAGGCGCTGAACGCGCGCGTCGGGATCTCCGAGATCTTGTTCTGCTCCAGACGGCTGGAACAGAGCGGGTCGTCAGGTTAGCTCCAGATCATCTGGCTGGAGCCGGACCAGACGCGTTAGAGGCGGGGATATGTAGAGCCCGTATAGTTGAGGGCATTCCCAATGCTATGCTTGCCTACTGTCCCAGTTTTGCAGGCAGGTTCTCAACTTTGGATGTCAAGCAGCCTGAAACGGTGGATAAATTCAGCTTGGAAGCCGCGCTGGCCACTCGGACTGGTCCAGCCCCTCGCCTGATTCATTCAAACTACCATCCCTGATTAGAGATGGTGGGAGGAGCCAAGCGGCAGGCCAGAGGTGGGGGCGGAAAATCACCAGCGCTGAGCCAAGAGTGGTGGAGAGACTGCAGGGGCATCGTCAACTGCTCGCACGCTGAGAGAAACTACCCACCAGGAGTAAATCGCAAGGTTTTACAACTGGGAGTAGGCTAGTGCCTTGCTGAAGTGCGCATCATTCACTCACCCTAAACCGATGCGAATCGTTAGGCGAAAGCTTTGTTTTATTAGCTTGCAGAACGTTTGAACTTAGCGACAGAGATGCAAACGGTCGTTCCGTTTTTATACCCGCTCGCATAGCACATACGTTCGGCTTACGTCTTCACATCAAAGTGTAAAACGATTGAAATATGTCAGCCATGCTGTGCTGGTGAACTTTTCACACCGACTTTATGCAGAGACGGTTGGAAGATGCTGGCTGCTGTGGCTTTCCGCTTCGAGTTGATACCCGATTCGCCGAATTTTATGATCAGCATGTGCAGTTAAAGGCAAAGGGCATGATGCGCTCGGCCTCATTCTGGCGTCCTTTCCCCGACAGTAAAATAAGCCAACGCTGGAAGCACGACCCGGAAAATAAATAACGGCTGTCCAATCCTGCCGCTCTGCGCCGCGGTTCCGAACGGGACACAGCAACACCAAACCCTACGGCCGTAGCCTCCAGCTTTTGTCGTCCCTAAACAAGCTTACACAGCCATGGGCTCGACACTTCAACATCCAATGCATCACACTGCATGGCGCACCGTACAGGGTACATATTCCGCCCATACTGCCTCTGTGCCGCCCCGCTCGCCGGGCGGTGTCAGTCCGCCCTGTCTGCCTCTGTGCCGCCCCGCTCGCCGGGCAGTGTCAGACCGCGCTGTCTGCCTCTGTGCCGCCCCGCTCGCCGGGCGGTGTCAGACCACATGGTCGAGGCGTCATATCATTATTATTATTATTATTATTATTATTATTATTATTATTATTATTATTACCGTCATTGTCGTAATCATCATCATCATCATCATTATCACCAAAAGACCGATAATGGTCGTCGTCTGTTTCGCCGGCGCGGCGGTACTCACAGCTCCACCGTGTCGAGCGGGATGTGTTTGGGGATGGTCTCCAGACCCTTGTCCCGGCAGTCAACGGAGCCCTGCGCGCAGGTGCACACGTCCGGACACAGGTCCTCCGGCTCGCACTGGTTGTCCGGGGGCCGAGAGTCAGCTAGAACGGCAGGTCAGGTCAGGTCAGGTCAGGTCAGACCAGAGACGTCCAGGATTCGGCGCTTTGAATATTACAGAATGGGTTTGCATATGAGTATCGCTGGCGGCAATATCAGCCTGTCGGGGTGTAAAATGAGCCATGTGGAGCCAAAGTGGCATGCCGTGTTTGAAAACGGCTCCATGTGTTCAAACTGGCCTCAAACGTGGACCGATCAAGCAGACGTGCGCTTGCTTCACTTCACCCAGCAGACAGCCTGTTTGTCAAATGAGTCATAGACATGATTTGGCCGTTTGTGCTTATGACGGGTCAATGTGGATACTTCCTGAACCTGATTAGTCACTCGGTTTGAGATTGACGCCACTTCCGCAGCGCGATCGGGCAGTGCGAACTGTAGAGCGCTTCTGTTTGGCGCTGCGCCAGAGTACATCTGAATGAGTATAGTCATCGACCCCCTCCCCCTCCTTACCAGATAAACGGACTTGAGTGGGTGCGATGATCGTTTTGTACACAGCTGTCCCGCCCAGATCACGGCCACGCCGTGATGAGTCGGCAGGGAGAGCTGACAGGGTCCTAAACTTTACACCTCACCCCGTTACCAGCTCTAGACCGCCCCACACTTGCACCAACGCGGTCTCCGGGCTCCAGACCGGGCCCGCGAGAAAGGCACGGTCCCGTTGCGTCTCCCACCCGCGCCCCGTCCGCGTCCAACCCGCGCCCAGCCCGCCCGCGCCCGCGCCCGCGCCCTCGCCCGCGCCCGCGCCCGCGCCCACGCCCGCGCCCGCGCCCAGCCCGCGTCCCGCGAGTGACCGTCCCGCGTCGGCGGGCGTTGTTTGCCGCCGCCGCGGCCGGCGCGTCGTGATGTCAACAGAGTCGTACCGTCGCACTTGAGCTGTTCGGTGGAGAGGGCGCCCAGGCCGCGGCCCACCAGCCGGTAGGGGGCGTGGCAGACGGCGCCCGGGTCGAGGAGGCCGCCGCGCGCCAGCCGAGCCAGCCACGTCAGGTGACAGTCGCACACCAGCGGGTTGCCCTCGAGCGTGAGAGCGCGCAGACGGGGGCTGTGCCGCAGCAGCTGAGCGGACAGGTGCTGCAGCCGGTTGCCGCCCAGCCGTCTGGAAGGTCAGGGGTCAGAGGTCACAGGTCACGGATCAGTCGGGCGGGGCGATGGGGCGCCAGAGCATTGATATGTGAGGAGACCGGCTGGTAACGACCAGGCGAGTTCTGAGGGACGTTCGAAATGAGGCCGTTCCTCTTCTTCGGAATGACAGTTATTCGCGGGGCTTTAATTACCAGCAACTCTCAGGCGTAGGATTCATCGGAGCCGCGCCGTTTCTCAACGTCCCGAGACCGCGATGGCCGCTGATTTCGTCAGGGGGTCTGCATTGAATGGGCCCGTCCCGCGATCACACAGCGGTCGCGGGCACAATGGGACGCGCGGCTGACGCCTGTTTTACCATCTGCTTCCCGTGCAGCGTGGTCATCATGCATGCGCAGATGTCCTGATGTCATGGTGTCACCCACTCACAGAATCTCCAGCTGGTTGCTGGAGTCGGTCGCGTCCGCGCTGATGCAGCGCAGCTGGTTATTCTCGAGATTTCTGCGGAGAGGGAGACATTCCTGGTGTCAGGCAGTGGGAGCGCGAAGCGGCTGATGCGTCGGAATGCTGACGACAGGAGTGCCGGACCTAATATGACAAGTTGGAGCTACATACACGTGGTCATAACTTGTGAGCACGAACCTGACCTTACATTTTACGCCTCCGTCTTGGGAAATCAACCACACTGGCTGTGGCCACGAAACCTGCAGCCAGTAGTTTTCATGACTAATTATTGGTAAAATGCCTGTTCGAAATTTACCAACTCTACAGCATTTCACATATCCTTACAAAGCTCACATGCTCAGCGTAATACCCGTTTGTGTTGACATTAGCAGTAAATTATCGCTTACATTTCTTGGAGTTTCGCTAGTTTTGCGAATGTTCCAGAAGGTATGCTCCTTATCAGGTTGTGGCTCAGGTCTCTGAAACGGGATATTCACAGTCAATGTTTCACCTGTTGCTCTCTTCCCTTCTCTTACTCTGTCTCTCCATCTCTCTGTCTCTCTGCTTCTGTCTCCCGGCCTCCCTGTCTCGGTTTTTGTCTTGTTCCCTTTCGCTTGATCCGTTTGCCTGTAACTATTCATCTCGCTCTTCCTGTTTCTTTGTCTGTTTCCTGTCCTATACTTCCCAGCGTCGGCCCTCCCCCCCCCCCCCCCCCCCCCCTCCCTCCCATCGGAGTAATCTAACGGGCCAGCAAAGCCGCAGGCTGACACCTGGCTGACATCAGTCAGGCTTACATCAGTTACGTTTCCGCAGACTGACATCAGTCAGGTCGCGATTTGAGCCATCACGCGGCTGGCTTACCGGGAAACGCTGTTTGTGCATGGCTTTCCCACTGGCAGCCTCTACACGGCCCACACGTTCAAACCACACCCTCTAAGAACCTCAAACACGTCAAAATCTGACAGGCCCTTCGATCAGATCGAGATGGGTAAATGGAATAACCCGATCCAGGGTGCGAGAACACGGGAAGTGAGTCCGCGTGGCTTGGCACCATTCTTTATTACAACGCCGCGCTTTTTCGGTACACCGTGATCCATCAGCCTCTGTTTATTCAGACTTAGCCGGCTGAGCCGGCTCCCCATAACTGTCTCCTTGACTGGCAGAGGCCCACAAACCTTGTGGGTCTGGCTGCTAGCCGCAGCCGGTGCAGACCACCCAGTGGTCAGCGGTCTCCGACAGGCATGAAGCCAGAAGCCCGACTCTGACTTTCGCGTATCATACCCCTGTGTCCAGAATGTGACGGTATGGACGCCGACAAAATCCGGCCAGTGTCTGACAGCGAGATGCTGTCGCTAGGGACTTACGACTATATATCATTCATAACGTGATGACAAATCTGTTCGCGGAATTAACGAGAGGGTCTAACGGGACAACCTGGGCGTTGGGCGTTCAATCTTGCAAGGTTAGTGGCATATTAATCGTTGAAAGGAGAGCCTAGGGGAGATATGGTTGATGCCTACGTGCTGATGGATCGGCGAGATGTGCGGCATGGTCGATAGTCGTAGTCTGTCACTGATGCCATGCACAAACTTGGACTAGTTTTCCTGGTCTCTCTATCAGTGTTTCACACCACAAAGATCATCTCCTTGTCACAGATCTCCACATGCCTTTTTTTGCAACGGGTGTGTTATCGGCCAAAATGTGTGAAAACATCAGGTCTGCTGCCGCGCTCATTATAAGGATGCATTCTGAACGTAGAAACGACACGGCGTATATGAGCTCTCCTCGATGCTTGGCCTCCCGCTTCCGCTTGTATATATTGCTGTTCGAAAACCACTAATGCTACATTCAGAAAGTTCGATACGTTACGTTGGTACGTTGCGTTGGTATGTAAGGTAAGATCGGCACATTCTCGGCATGTTTATGTCACATGAAATCGGACACTTGTAGCGCAGGTCGTCCGCCTCGTAAGGGCCCTCCGCTGAGCTGCATCACTGCTGTGGGACATCTGCGATGGGCAGATCGTTTCTTTCGTGCCTGTCTTGTCCGTGGTCTAAGTATCTACAAAAGGCTTATTTTCATATCTATCTCACCTTCGTGAGCCGCGCGGTCGTATGACTATGGCCTTGACCTTTGAGGGGTTTGACCACCTCCTGAGCCGTGACACAGTCTACCCTGTCCGTGAGCCATGCCACAGTCCGACAGTCCTCGTGAGCCGTTACGCAGTGTGATAGTCTCGGTCACTCACGAAACACTTTGGCCGTCTCAAGCAAGCCGCAATATATTCTGGTTGACCCCGTGGCACATGCAGCCGTCCAGGCCGTCTCTGTAGCTAATGTCGTTCCCGTAGCACGTCCAGTTCCGTGACGCCGCCTCCCCGTCCCTCTCCCGAGCCGCTCTGGTCGTCTCTCGGTCCCGTGCGGCCGCTCCGGTCGTCTGCCGGTCCCGTGCAGCCGCTCCGGTCGTCTGCCGGTCCCGTGCGGCCGCTCCGGTCGTCTCTCGGTCCCGTGCGGCCGCTCCTGTCGTCTCTTGGTCCCGTGCGGCCGCTCCGGTCGTCTCCCTGGTCCCGTGCGGCCGCTCCGGTCGTCTCTCGGTCCCGTGCGGCCGCTCCGGTCGTCTCTCGGTCCCGTGCGGCCGCTCCGGTCGTCTCCCGGTCCCGTACAGCTCCTCCGGTCGTCTCCCGGTCCCGTGCAGCTCCTCCGGTCGTCTCTCCGTCCCGTGCGGCCGCTCCTGTCGTCTCTCCGTCTCGTGCGGCCGCTCCGGTCGTCTCCCGGTCCCGTGCGGCCGCTCCGGTCGTCTCCCGGTCCCGTGCAGCTCCTCCGGTCGTCTGCCGGTCCCGTGCGGCCGCCCCGGTCGCCCCGCCACGCAGCCATCTCCGTGTGTCGTGCAGCGGTTCCGGCTGGCCGGCCGCGGCGCGTGACGGGGCTCACGGCCGGCTCACGCGGCGACACGGCCTATCGCCGCCGCCGATCGCGGCCGTGTCCGCCGCCGGGTGGCGCTGTCCGGTCCGCGCGGACAGCCGCGCCAGCCGGACACGACCGCCAGATCGATCGGCCGTCTCAGCGGCGCTTTATGGTGACGGCGAGTGACGTTCGTGACGGGAAGGTGCAAGGGCACGGCACGGCCGTCTCCGCACCAACCACCCCGAGACTTTCGAAACACCTGGCAGCGGGTAGCCTCCCGACTTCAAAGAAATTTTGCGCCGGGGCAGGGAAGGGATTCGAAACGCGCTATGCCCCCCCCCCCCCCCCCCCACCCCAGACCCCGATGTTCTGCAGGTTGCTGCAGCCCTGCAGGAGGGCGTCCGGTGGGCGTTTCAGCCGTTCGGGGCCACCACCAGCGCGGCAGGTGATTGGCTGGGTGGGTACTCTGCATGCCTCCGGGACACTGGGTGACGCCAGCGTGCCGACATACTAGGACAACTACGGATGCTGTATGAATCGGGTCTCTGAGAGCAGCTTTTGGGATCCGAGCGTACAACAGGTGTGACTAACCAGAGGAAGAGGAGAGGCGTTAGATGGCGGTGGCGTCAGCCGGGTGCACTGTAACTGACGGTTACGGGATACGTGAGCGCCCGAACATTAGTGAGATGAAGTAATGGCGTAATGATAATGACAGAAAATGAAGGGTTATGATATCACGTGAAAGCAGTGGTGGAACATTTCAGAAATGGATCGGGTTCCGGCTTTACCAGCGGACGGCGCGAGACAGAAAACGATGAACCATTTCGCCATTCGATGCTTCTCATATGGTCAGTTATTAGGGATTACAGCAAGCGAAGAGCGAGCAACTTTTCTGGCACTAACGCCCAACGCGGATGTTTTATTCATGACCAATCACGTTCTGGCCCATGCTGTACCGACCTCGTCCTAATCCAAGCGTGGCACCTGCCGATCAGGAGTGTCTTCGCCGCCAGTAAAGGTCAACCAGCCAAAAATGTGCTAGGAAATCCCAGAGCTAGAATGCAGCGTGACAGTTCGCACCCAAGACTAAGAGCCCCCCAACAACCGCTGGTGCCTGCCGCCACACTCAGGACATCTCTCCGGTCGCCGCTGCGAGCCGGCCGGACGTGGGTGGGAGGCGTCAGAGGACTCACTAGAGGCCCTGACAGCTCCCGGTAGGGGGCTAGAGCCACGGGGGCGGGAGGGAGGACAGGCCAGAGCGGGGGAGCTGCCACGCGGGCGCCTGTTTACCGCCGGCTCGGCTCCGAGACGGAGAACAGAGACGGCGGCGACCGTACTGTTGACCGCGCCGCTCGCCACCTGGTCTCCATGGCAACAGCGGGCAACATTCCGACGCGGAGACGTCTGTATGCGGCTGGCTGCCGCAGCCGGCGCAAGACCGGGCGACTGTCAATTAGGGCCAATTTTCCGCTGGCGGTGAACTGGATGAATGAAGCAGACTGCCGATGTTTGGAGAGAGACCCCCAGCGTGGAGAATGTATCAATCACCGCACGCCGTCAAGAAAACCATCGCCGGCGCCCGATCACTTTGTGTCGCTGCCAGGGTCTGAATAGCATTTCCGAAAGATTTGCCACTTGCGGAATAATTGCTTCATTTATCATCACAGCCGGCCGGCCTGCGCGGCCAATGCCCAAGTCATAGGCGTTACGGCGACATAATGGCCTGCAGACGGAATTGATAGCCGTCGAAGATCAGATAGGTCGGCGCTCGTCGAGGAGGTGCCCTCCATTAATCAAGCGGGTGCCGCGCCGCCGCCGGTGGCTCCCTCTATCGGCGGGCCGCTGGTCCTGCCCTCCCTGCCTCTGATGAGGTCCTCTCTCCTGTGCTCGCTCGCGCCGGCGATCCCGCGCGAGAAAGGTGTCGTAAGTGCAGCGGCGCAGTGCGCGAGCGCGGCTTCGGTGCGGAACTGAATGACTTGCCCGTCCCGAGTGGGAGACGGCGCTGCGTTGTAACGTGTCGGGCGCCGTCACTGCTCAACCGGGGCTGCGTGTCGTGGAGGCGGGACGGCAGGCTGGGATGAAGTTTCTTGTTCAGTGGGGGGGGGGGGGGACACACCCCCGACATGGGCTCTTGACCCTCTCCCTCCCTAGCTCTGGACAGAAAGTGCTTCCAAATCCGTAGAGAAGCCCGTTGGCTTGTGCATTTTCAGGGTAGGTTTCGTCATTTATCTTTGTTAAGCCCCATCCATCCCCTCACCAACTTATTTTGCGAAACTACGCCCCAGACTGGACATATGAAACTTGCGGAACGGTTTTTGCTTACCATAACAGCTTCCATTGTGAAATCAACAGCCTGAGGATGTTAGCTATCTTTAGTGAGCCGGAAATGAAGGAACGCTTAGCCACCTCCTCAAGTGGCATCGCCTTAATACCCGTCAGATAAAAAAAACTGAAAAGTATTCGTACGCTCGCTCATCTACAGGATGATATTAATTTCCCCCAAATTTCCCTCTGTATTCGATACAAACCATATCCTTATTTGTATTGTGTTAACCTGGCGTCAAGTTCACCATTTC